CTTTGTTGACTGTGTTACTATCAAATGTAGTCCTAAACACATATCAAAGTACAAACCTTGTTTCAAATACAGATGTAAACCCTGGCTGTTCCCCATCAGATCTACTTAATTTAGCAGATGAATTTACAGCTTTCGCTACTGCATGTCTGGAGGACTATATCATTAGTCGACAGTGACTTCACTTCTTGAGACTTCTCCTTCCTTGAATTACTTAGAAATGTAATCATTGTTAATTTCTCGGATAGACAAAACACTTGATTTAGTGTCCACCGACAACACCGGAATATACAGAGTACGCAAACGAGCCTTTATTCTCGGCTCTCATCACTTTATTATAACAGGCCATATAAATATATTTCAAGTCTTACACAAGTGTCTTCTCACACCTTTCCAAGAAAACAACGGATATGCTACTCGAAAAATAACACACATAATCTCAGATGCTTTTTGAAGGACACCAAAAGGGGCCTGTTTACTGAATATTTAATTGAAGGCACTATCACCAATAGAACTGACCATATAAAATCCTGACTCGATATTAGTTGCCCAAAACAAAGTTCAAAAGTTTTGGCCGATACACAGTTCCTCGACTCAAAAAACTATGGAGAATAAACGAACATTTATGTAATTCTAAATTTAAATTTGGTCTTAAAAGGATCTTACTTTAATAAAATCCGAAGTCCAAAGTTTGAACACTATTTATAACCAAATCATTTATCACGCGAAACACCCTCAGTCATGTGGAAACTTTTCGGTGAAACTGCTGGTAGTAAGGAAAACGCCACTGTTCTCTCGTATGACGAAAATGCACTTTCATGCGCTTTCCTGCCAACACTGTCATTCATAAAGTTACAGATCACAAGCCTAATAACTTTCATTGTCTAAATGCTCTTGTTGTACTCAAGTGAGTGCATTCCCTATTACCCTCTTTCAGTCTAGGTCCTGACGGTTTGCCTTCTTGTACCGTCAGAATTTCTGTGGATATTCTATGTTATCCTCTTATTAACGCTTTCAGTGCTTCTTCTTCTACTAGTAATGTTGTGCCGGACGCCTGAAAGCAAAAATTAACTTTAATTACGCAACTATGAGTCTTCCTTGAAAAGTTTCAGTGGACCTAAACAGTTCTCATATAAGCAGAGTAGATGTACTCTAGATGTTGCTGCTGTCCTATATCACAACCTTATTTCCTGCTTAGAGAAAGGGGCTAAGTATGATCAGTGTTCCTTCCTCGACTGTACACCCGCTTCTGGGGACGTAGCGAGGGCATATGTGGTCATACACAAAATAACAAATGACCAGAATCATCCAAACAAGGGTGTTATGCCACTGAGTAGGTATGGGCTCCCTCGTGGAAATCCCAGAAGGATAGCTCACCCGAGGGCAAGGAGTCGGGTGCGCTCCCACTTCTTTTAACTGCGAGTTTGACATTCCTGGAATTCCTTACCGGTAGATGTAGCTATGGCACCGTCTGTGGACGCCTACAAGCGAAGGCTGGACAATCAAGCAGCAACACAAGGACTGCGTCCAAATGGCCTATCCCCTTAAAATCCCGTACACCATTCAGGGGTAGACAACTAAATTCGTTGTTTTACTTCTTTACATTCTCTCCCGTCTTACTCTCCTGACAACTTTAACTACACTTATTATTATTATTACCGATATATATATTATTCATATTATTCTTCAGATTTAATCAGCTGACTGTTGTTATGTTCTCTTATTTCTTTTTCTGTCTGTTAGTCTGAATAACTTCACTAATTAAATCTATTATTATTATCTCTTTTCTTTTGACGACAATACCGGAGGACTAACTGGTGAAAGGATCAACTCCATTCACAGTAGTAACAGTCTTAACACACCTCATACTACAAACCACATATAATTAATCCCGGCACCACTCCTTTGGGAGTCAACCAAAGCTACCACAGTCGAGTGGCGGGACGAGCTACGCAGAAGTTTACCGAAGTTCAGGAACCTATACTCGTGAGAACGATATTGGATATTGGATCTTTTCCGTGTTACCAGCAAGCACATTCATTCATCGAAGCATACCACCAGGTGTTTATACTTGTTTCATTATTTCATTTGTGGTGTCAAGCGGATCACCTTGTAATCCGAATGATTCTAAATTTCAAAGTTAACTGTATTGAATCCTAGGCAGAATTGTATAATTTTCAATAGCAAGTTGTTTGATCATCGACTTATCGATACAAAAGCCTGCATTTTTCTACTAAGCAGAAGCCAAAAGTGAAAACCACAGTAAATTGAGAAAAAACAACCATTAAAACTGATACAGAAAGGAACTTTTATTTACAATTACTTTCTTTAAATGGTTTTCAAAATATAACATATGTTGAGACCACCTCACATAGCCTCACTTTGTTAGAATGAAAATCTGGAGGCATTTGGATTACTACCACAAGCCCCCATGTCACCAGTCCTACGCTATTCTTGCTGACCCGTGAGACCTAGATAGATAAAATTACAGCTGCTCAGGTAAAAATTATTTTGAAATATATGAATGATGGTGTAGCAAAAAGAGGCATTCAAAGGTATGATAAACTAGAATATATAGACTTCTAGAATGCCTCATGGATTTGTGTACGGTGCAAGGATCGTATCCCTACAAGAAGCTCGTAGAAGATCAAAGAAGTTCGGCGAATCAACTGAACCTCAGTCGTTTCACCGTCAACAATCAATGTGTTCACCCGAACGGATTGAAACACATGGTTCACGGTATGGTTTGCAAAGGAGAAGAGCAAAGCGATGGCGTTGCGTTGTGATTGTAGGTTTCTATAATCTGTTCACCTCATTGCTAATAAATACACCTTCCACCAGCCGTAAGTGGTATTTTCACCCTTCACCTGTTGGGTTGGTATTGTGAACAGCCCGACCATCATGTTAGATGGGCCAGGTCAAAGAGTCAGCAGGTAGTGGGGTTTAAGCTTAGGTCTGGCAGAATTGTTGGCCCACAACAATCCCGAGAGCTACTTCTAGTTGTATCCAGCCAGAAGCGAGCTCAAAGCCGTAAAGCAGCTCAAACAGCTGGTTTCCTAGAAGTTTAACATATCTGAATTCTATCAGTATTGATGTATTTGGTATTAGATGGTTGAGAATCGATAGATGATGCAGATAGAAGATTTAACATCAGGAATGATTCTGTGTTGCAGCCGTTTCTACGTTTAGTCTAGTCAGATTCGTCGCTATAGGAGTTGATCAACGTCTGAGGGGAGGAAGAAGCGTTATTTTATAGTATATCTGATAATGCCTGGTGGAGAAAAGTGAAAACATGCTTCTCAAGTATGTTGTATTCTAAAAGTGATATGTGTCTCCTACCGACCAAAAACGTCATCTAAGAATAATTGCTGCCTAATTATAACTACATCTGACCCATTTATAGATGCGTATATGTTCTACTACCGAAAAACACAATTTAAACAGGGCAAGCTGTCGCCTAACAAAACATCAACTCAGGGGATTATCAGAAAAACTTTCGAATGTACAACTATCGACCACTATCCTTACTTAATATCCATACAGCAAGTACAGGTTGCCACATTATGCCTCACCCAAATATATCACAATCTGAACTGTTGCCTTACAAATATAAACGGTATATAGGTATATGGTTCGAAGGAAGAAAGGTTTCAAACGGTTGGCCTAGAAAGCTTCAGTAAGTGAATTGTATATCCCTTGGTCTGATGTTCCATAGAAGTTCGTATGACCGATGGCCCGACGAATTTATCCGGTAAAGATTCAAACATGGTAGTTAAATCACTGGCAAACAAAAGTCAAAATTCGTTATGACATGATGCAGATTTCATCATACCCTATGATTTCAAACCAAAAGCCTCGACCAAGTTCACGACCTATGGTCTTCCTTGTACAGCTACTGCAACAGGCAATCATTCAAAGACTATGAATAACACAAATCCATATTAGGAAATTGAGTGCCCGATTCTAATGTAATATGCAATAATTCAGAAATACCAGTTCCACTCCAAACTGTGTCTTTATCGACACATGAAAATACTGCTAGCTTCACGGTTAACCTTCGCACTTTCTTCCATGCTTATTTCCAAATAGTTCCTTAAGAAACTAGGCGAATAGACGCAGTATGATATTGTTATCCACCCAATTACTGATATAAATCAACCTTACAGATTGCAGAGATTTGATGGATGTGTAGTAAATTTACTTACTGAAATAAGCATCAAAACAGATACACCCAAATTATGTGTGCGAACTCCGGTGATATAGTTGCTTCTGTAGTTAAGTACCGGAGTAAATTGCTCTGTGAAACACACATATATCTACACCATTGGTTTCTGAAGTGCCAGAATTGATAGGAACTAATTAATTACGGGTTTGTCTTGTAACAGGCTGTACAACACGAGATATCAACTGGTTGTGCAACGAAATCACGCATCAGCTTTGACTTCTAAATCGATTCAGTCGATGGTTACACCTCTTTCATTTTAATCCCTGGTGTGACTCTCTGATAGCCTTAAATCGATGCATTTTGTTATGAGCTATTTTCATCTCACCTCTTTCACCCTCTTCTAGCCTCTAGTTGCTTAGGATTACCCTTCTTCTTTAGATACTGATAAAATCATGATGCACGAGTTGCTTGATTTTCTCGGAATCTCTTTGCAATTTCATTTATTTAGACCAAAGAGTAAAAGAACACTTAACTAGAAATATTCTGTTGAAATCAGAAGTGTACATAGTGACCAAATAAAATAGATGACACAAGAAGTGGAAACGTAAACACTGGGGTTGCCAGAATTCTAGATGCACACATCAACGTATGAGACACTAGTTCTTAACTAGTGACCAGTACTACGGATAGTAAAAATTGTATACTTGCATAGAATATTATGAATTGGAGCACTCCTTAAGAAAACCTCAGTCATTTACGACTTCAGAATTTCTGGTCTTGAAAGTGTATCGTTTTGTTTTACTTAGTTGATGCTTAACCTGCCTTGACACAGGCAGATAGCCAGTAAAACCGTACGATTTTAAAAGGGAGTCATGAAGAAGCTTTTTTCTAAGCTGCAAATAGGCAAGCCTTCAAGGGAAAACAGTCCATCTGCATCATCATTGGGAAGTCATGATAGTCTTCACAATGTTTCCAATGGAAATGTGAAGTCTGTGTGGAGTTATGTAGTAAATGAGAAAGATTTACCGAAACTGCATAAAGCTGTATGGAAAGAAGATATAAAAAAGGTTAAGAATTTAGTAAGAAGAGAGCCCATGGTTGGTGATAAGTATAATAGGTAATTTACACAATGTCTGTATATTTTCAAGGACTCCACTTCATTACGCCTGTTTTAAAGGAAACGAGGATATCGTACGTGAATTACTTGAATTCAACGCTAAAGTCAATGTTGTTGACAATAACTTTCAAACGCCACTAATGAAGGCTATAGAAGGAGGATTCTGTCAGTGCATAAAACTGCTGATGGACTACAGAGCAGACCTTACTGTTCAGGACTCAGAAGGCAATGCAGCAATACACCAGGCTATAAACAGTTCTTCCCCTGAGATTGTTTCACTATTAATAAAGGCTGGTGTTTCTATTAACACTCATAACCAGGTGAGAAAATGTCCTGATCTTTCCTGTCAGTGTATGAGGTTAGAAACGTTTTCCTATGAGCTGTAGACATTTGGTTATATTTAAGTTTTGCGCAAAAAAGAAAGTAAAGCGACGAATTTGCTTGATTTTGAGAGATTTGTTTCGAGGCGTTATTGCGTTTCCTCAATTTCGCTTTATAAATCTGTTTTGAAGTGGAAAGGGGTTTAAGACCTTTTATTCCACTCATTGAAAGCGGAATTATGTATACTAAGAAGGGCGTCGGTATCCAGTGGCAAATAAATAGCTGTATGCATCTTTTCTCAATCAATTTTAGATTGTTTGACAAGTTGTTATTTTGAATTAACTGAGTTGTTTCACTATGAAAATCTGGAACAAGACATACGTCCAGACGATAAGACGAGAACCAGCTGACAGGATAATAGGGAGGAGAACATCTCCGCACTTCAACTTAAAATGTGTACGGCATGATCTTTCCGTTAAACTGAAATAAGTGCGGGAACGACAGCAGCTTGCTCTTGCTCTTTCGTCTTGACAAGTTCACCAAAACAATGAATGCACCTGTTCATTATCAAATGCTACAGAATCACTCACCTATTCCAAATAAAAACTCAATAATCCATGGCAAGTTACAACTTTGCTGCCGTTTTGATCCTTCGTAATTTTCTTTTAAAGCTAATCTCTAAAGAAGGAGAAATAATTAGGATAGGGGTACACACTAGAATACTTTATCAAGGTAAAGTTAAAAAGGGAAAAGCAAGTCATAAATAGTGTGCAAGTGTATTAAAGAATAAAAGTGGAATCAGCTGGCTAACTAGTCACTTGCATTAAAATATTTTTGCTTCTTAGATCAATATTTGTATATGGAACTTTCACTTTACGTTGTTTTTGATTACTGACCCAACGAAGAGCGATATTCTTAACTAACATCCTGAGTAAAAGAAAAGTTGATTTAAGACATTCAGATTTATTTCAAGTAATCGGTTCCACCTCTTCAAAAACAAAGGGTATCTCGTTGAAGCCTACTGTGTACGAAAAGTTTAGATGGATTTAGCGAAATTTGACTTCTGTCACATAGCTCTTTCAAGAGCTGCTTTAGAATCTGCCATTTTTCTGCACCAGATGTGCGCCTTCAACTTATACTTCGACATTCATTTATCACCAGTTATATCATCACATATCTAAATATTTGTCCAGTAATGCTTATTTTAAATATTCAGGTTAAAATGCTTTAGCTGATACCTGATTTCTAAACGTTTTCAGGAAGGAAAAACAGGTCTTCATTTGGCCGTTGAAAGGCAGGATGTGGAAATGGTTAGCCATCTTCTAAGGAATGGTGCAGAAGTAAACTGTGTTGACAAAAGTGGAAGGTAATTGATTTTTAAAGAAATAAATTTTATTGTTTCGTTCATTAATTTTTATATTTCACTTTAGATCTGCTCTTATGCTTGCCTGCTTACAAGGAAACAATAAGATAACTGAAATTCTAATGAGTCATGGGGCCTCTGCTAGCTTAAAAGATAAAAAAGGTATGTTTTATCCCGATTTTAGCTGTCGTTTATTCTACTTTACTTATATTTTTAAACCTAAGAAGCAGCATGTTTTCCATTAGAGGATGCAATTCAGTTCAAACTGTTCATTAGGTTGTTCTGTTATATAAGACCGGTGTTAGTTGAAATTAATGGTATGGCTTATTATCTCAGGTTCACTGTCTATGAACTAATTTAGTCTGGGTCTGAGTACTGGTTGTTGTTTATTTTTACATGAATTTATATCTTAGTTTATACACTTGCACTTTTTGTCACTCGTAATGTATGTGGTTAGGAGTCTTCGTTGTTCCAGCTAAGAGGGAATAAAACCACTTTTTGCGGAAATTTGTTGTTAATGTAAGGAGTACCTGGAGATTCATTGTGATTATTGCTTCCATAGTTACGCAATAAGCATTTGTGCGTCATTTCATAATTTGGAACAAATGTTCTTGAGTAAACAAGTCGGCTTTTGTGAACGAACATTATAAAAATACAGCTAATGAATATCTGGATGACAGTCGGATAACTAGCTGACAATCTAATGTCAAAAGAATAGTATTATTCAGTTTTAGTAATTTGGTTGTATGTTATTAAGGAAAATGAAGCCCTTGAGATCCATGGAGGATATCTGTAGTCTTCTTCCTTATCCTGCCACCGTAATTTATTAGACTTAGAGTTTGAAACGTCTTACTTAAGTAACATGGAATCCTTGTGAAAGTTGCGCAAATTAATTTCTTTCTCTAAAATTTTATCAAGCTGATGAACTGTTTTCCAATTGGATGTTGAATGTTTGTACTTGATGACTCTGAACTCTGTCGTTCTTTTGGGTAAATATCCAATTAAATACGACAGTCTCTGCTATATGATACTTAGAAAAAATTTTTTTGTAATATGATGAAAACTCAGAAATATTTTTGGGGAATGGAATTCCAATTCTGCAGGTATTCTGGGTGAAGTAGTAACGGTAGTAAACAGTTTTAAAGTAGTCTGCATAAGTTTTCTCAACGCATGTATACAGTGAAAGTAGATATTCACGCGCACGTTGTGAAAGATCCAATTATTCAAAGTCACACCAGGCATATTCTGTGCAGTCACAAAGAATCCAGTTGTATCAACTAAATAAATAATTAGCAAGTGATTTTTCTTGTCTTGTCGGTCGATCACTGAGTTGTCAGACTCTTGTTCTTTAACTCTATTTGCTAACTTTCCCCGTTTTACTGTTATTTTGATCGAACACACTATGAAGCTTTTGAATTGCTTGGTAAACAAGTAGATATTCTTTCGAGAACTAAGACAAAATTTTATGACGTTTGTGATAAATTGTTTTCCAGTTTGTATTTATTTTATTTAGCATAAAAATCTACAGCGACCAATATTTCTCAAAATAAGTGTGAACTCGGTCTGACTGGTTTTAAAACACATCTTATCAGCATATTTTCTCTGTTACTTTAGGTCATACACCCATGGAGGTAGCCTTAGAAAAAGGTCATTTAGAATGTCTACAGATAATGTCGACAATGGCAAAGAATAATGCAAATACCAAAACACCATCCCTTATTGATGACAGTGATGAAAGTTCTGAAAAATCTTACGAAATAATAAACAGTCTAAATGGACATTTAGATGACGGTGAGACAGAAGATGAAGGGGGAGTAAAAAGTAAAGAACATATAGTCGTTGATAAACCTCCCGTTCCGCCTAACTTTACTTCAAGTGAAAGCAGAGAATCCCACAGTGCTAGAAGATCTACTGCAAATTCTCATGTAACGGAAGTTGAACGTGAAAACGGCGATAACATTAGTAGTGTGAATTCATTTTCAGACGATAGGTATTTTGAAAGCCATAAATCAGAAGGGCTTATAACTACGGATTTAAGCCAACGTGAACATTCACAAACATCTGAAATGAAGGATTGTTTACATAAGAATCAAACGGCAACGGAAATTATTTCAGATGGTAGGTTTGATTTAATAAACTTTATATGTAGCACTGGAGTGTAATATTATGTTTTAAATATTGTTTTCCAGTGATATTTTGAAGATGAATGCAGTAAATTACCATTTACGAAACAACTTGTTGCTTAAAATTCTTTGGCTTAAATGAATTCTTTCTTTTGATTTTTACCGTTTATACACCACAAGATGATATTCGAATTAGTCGGAGTCTCTGAATTCTGAAAGATACATCTTGAATCAATATAATCGTGTACTATTAAGCAGTTACTTCGACTAAAATATTGGTTATATAAGTTATTTTCCGAAAACCATCTCGAAGTAACAGTAACGTATTTTTAACAGAATACAATGGAGGTGGTTGTATGGCTTAGTCACCTGACTATGGCCGATAAAATAAAACTTTATTGTGGTTATGGTAACTTACGAAGTAAGAAGTGGCTGCATACGATGTGATAAACTGAGTTTTACTGGTAGCTTCGCAAATATACATCTAACATATTTTTAAATTTCATTGGTACTTTTGTTTTGAATTCATAGGTTTAGAGAGGAATAAATCTTATTATATAAATGAGCTTGATAAATCTATTTGGGATGGTCGAGAATATTTGTATCTTTGATAGGTAATTAAGGTAGACTAGCACTCTTTGGGCTGAAGGATTTAGTCATGAAGCTTCTTCCATTTTTATATTCAGAAGGATCTCCAACACAAAAGTCAGAGGGAAATAAGTTATAAGAATTTCTCCATAGGTGATTTATTAGTATACTATGATGACCAAGGGTGAGCTGATACTGGTTTTATATATGTATCCAGAACACAGGCTTTTCAAAGTATTTTAGCTTTCTGAGCTCAGTCATTTCAAGCACATCGTTAATCAAATTAGTCCTACGGTAGGCAAACGCCTGTCCCGTTTGTAGATCTCCTGTATTTCTGTTTCAAAAAGTAGTAGTCTTTAACTACTCATATGCGTCAGTAGTACATACTATCTTGATGTCTTGACATAAAACACACCTTATTTTTTAATTATAAACTGATTATTATCAGTTATTTTCTTTATAAGGACGAACTTATTATTTCAAGACATTGTTTATAGTAATTCTAATGATCAAACATATTTAATCAATAATCTTGTATCGTGTCAAAGCACTCAACTAATAAACACTTTATATATGAATTTTGTTTGAAATTTCCACAGAATCGGAAGAGAATATAAGTTTGGAGTTAGCAGACACCATAAATATACACAAACACGAACAGTGACATACACACAAACTTATTGTAATAATACCAGTATCTAATACTGATTAGTATGTGATTCTTTAACTCATAGACGGTACACAAGCTCGAATTCCATTCTCATAAAGCATACTGAAAACGAAATTATTTGTTAAGGACAATAATCTGATAAAGTGTATAGCAATTCTTGATGTCATTTTTACCTTAGTTGCATAGTTTACTAACATACTAATGATTTTATTTTTAAAGTGATATGTAAAGTAGGTACAAGTGAAGGGCTCTTTATTTTTCTTACAATCAACTATTCATTTTAATAAGGTTAAAATTGATAAAAGTTTAATACATTTACATATTCATTTCAGATCACATACACAAATGCATTTTATAGACCGGAACACAATAGATCATATCGTATACTCATATATCAGTGTGAGATAATTTATAGTGAAAAAAAGTCAGATTATATTGACTTAGAATAAGATCGCGGAAATTAGATTCATATACTTATATAACTGGTAGATAACGCTATACAGCAACCATATGCATGATAACTTCGCAGTCAATAAAAACATTTAGAAATACTAACCGACTTTTAAAGCATTTTGTAGATGAGGCGGCGTTTAAAATCATGACTGATTAACTCAAGGTCAAGTAATTAATTCAGTGAGCCATAAATTTGTGTCATATTTGATTTCTTTAACAAAATGGAAGCTTTGTGTGCATGGTTAGAAGAGATCATCTCACTTTTGGTAATAGCAGTAATTTGCTGACTGGCTTGTGATTGGCAGTCATTAAGTTAACTTATTTATACCATCATTCAAACAGTTTATGTTATGTGACTGTTGATTTTAGCTTGACTTGGGGTCCTTGGGACACTGAGAATCAATAGCTGGTGATTGTTGTTGACATGATTGAAAATCGTTCACAATGGCTCAGATGTATCTACACAATACTTGAAGAGTGTTGAACTTAATTTCTTATATTTTCTGTTCGTATGTAGAAAGATATACTTTAGAAAAGATGCTAAGCAAAGTATGACACTAGATTAACTCAAAAAGATTACTTCAAAGCTATTTAAGTTACTGTAATATATTAACGCTGAATAAGAATGTTATTGTTTAATACACTTAAGTAGGGGTTTACTAGCCGTTTCACAGCCTTTAGCAATCACTTGTTTTCACACACTTTATCTGAACAAAGTTTACTTTACGTTGTCTCTAGATCTAAGGTGGACAGCAGTACTTTAATAGCATTACGTAAGTGATTTATATTACACTTAAACTTACTTTTAGTTCAATATTGTAATCTGATGCTAATTAAAATAATATACTTTTCTACGCTTAAAGATTTTCTTGAAGAAAATGCTCTTGAAAGTTTGGAGGTACAAGAGCCAATTATCTGGTCACCAAGAGTAAGTTATCTTTTTAAATTTCTGTGAGATAATATCGGCGTTTAATTCTTTCTTTATCTGTGAACTAATTTCAACCAAGTAGTTATCAAAACTGTAACTCTTTTCAGCTTATACTTGGTCAAGTTAAAGAGTAGTCATCCAGAAGAACCAGAGCACCAATTACCTTGAGATATAAAAGTACAGTAGGTTGGTGAAACTGGGTGTAAGACAGTATATTAGTAGAAAAATGGCGAAAAAATGTGAGAATATAAAACTGAATAGCTGGTTAGTTTAGGGTTAGGTTAATCAAACTAACCATGAGATTAGGTTACGGACAAATTAGCATTGTTTGAGATTAGATTTTAGTCAGGTTATAAAAAGATGAAGGCTAGGGCTAGGTTCAATGTTAATTTAGAGGAATATTAGGAATAGAGTTTGATTAGAAACCCAAATTTATCTTTTGAGAGTGATTAGTTGTCTCAAAATTATTGGTGTGTTCGGTCGCTTGAATAGCTATCCCTTAACTTTGTCTGATACTTTAGTGTGTATCGGTTGATGAGAAACACTGTATCATTCCAAAAAAATATTCACAGAGTTGCATATGGTCAAGCCTAATCTATTACATAAACAGCTCTCCTTTTCTATACTTACCAAAAGATTTTTTCAGCCCTTTGATTCCCAAGTAAAACATAAGCCTTTAAGCTTGAGGTCTGAAGTTCCACGAGCAGTGATGTTGTTTTTCAGTGGTGAGGTTGCTAGCCTCATTCCCATCATTCTCCCTTTATCGAGAGACACGTCACACAAGACAATAAAACAACAATATAAAGGAAGAGAAAAGTAAAATAACTGAGGTTTAGTGGAATAAAAACAGACAAGCAAACTTGTCAAAAGCAATTAAAGGTGATTTTATTACTTTGTATTACCTACAGAGGGAGAAGAAAGGAGAAAATTACAGATCCCTAAATATCCTCCTTCTGGATATTTGAAGCCTTAGCATACTTAGAATATCAGTTGACGATGTGACTCCTCAGGATTTACACCAGTGTATACTACAGTTAGTTTTTGAAAATTAAGCGTGATTCCGTAGTTGAGTTCTGCTTTATACGAATACCTACAATTACATTTTTATTACTTCTTTCATTTTAACTGTTTATATTGCCATTTAAATTTCTCATATTTAGAGCTTGAAAGATATTCAGCTGCCTATTCATGATCACGTGAATTCTGGACCTCAAATAAAATATTTAGGTAATTTACAGTGTCAATTTTTCATAAACTACTTATAAGTAACTACTTGTAATTAAGTGGCTTTTCATTGTTAAAGTTTCATATTTTCATCAGAGAAATATGGATTATTAGTTTTTTGTACTTCAGCTCCTTAAGATAATTCAAAAGATTTACTAATTGTAAACCAAACAGCAAGAAATGTTCCGAAGTTATAAACGCTTGTATGCAAAAGCCTTAATGATGTTTTCAGGTGTTGGAAAGCATAGTAAGGCTTAAAACATAGTCTTTAAAGTTCGTAATTTGCCTGGTGTGGGCGACATAATTCTTTCTGTACGAAACAAAGGATTAGACATATGACATAAGTTACCACCTAGTGCCCTATCAAAGAAAGACCAATTAATTATAAATAACTAAGACCGAGAATTCTGACTTTCAAATTCATGAATCACTTTGTTTACCCTCAGAATTTTGCACTTAGGTTACTTTCGTTTGTATTTGGATTCTTCTGATGAATTATAAGGGACAAGAACTCTGTTAATACAATTTAAACTAATTTATTCATTTCATCAGTGAAATATATTCATTTATTTATGTATAATATTGTATGGTAACTTATTACTAAAAAGAGTCGGCATATTATTGAGAAAGTTTGAACTGACAGAAAAACTGAGATACCGTGAACTTGCCACATGACTGCATGTGAAGTGAATTAAGAATATCGTATCTGTGGTAAATATACCACTACCGTCTAATAGTTTTGATTAAAAATTAATTATTAAACTGTGTAAATGCTGTGTATCACCCCGTTCTCTGCAGCCCTCTTTAACTGGCTCCAAAATTACCCATAAGCTTTCATCTCCTCCTCACATGATCACCTCCATGTCGCTTTTGAACACCCGACTCTTTTTTTCTCGTTTGGCCTAACGCGCAATATCACTCAATGGTCTCCTCAGCGTATTTCCAATCCATCTCAACTTTCTTCAGCATATTTGTTGAGCAATAGGTTCTTGACTGGTTGACTGACGGAGTCCTTTGTTGTTCATCGTTTTTGGCCATCTGATCTTCGGTATGTAGCGAGAGCAGCTGTTGATGGCGGTCTTAGGCCTGTTGAAACTGTTTTTGGTGATACACTTCCAAAATATCTGAACCACATAGGAACATTGACTAGACGTTAATGCTGAAAATTCAGATCTCATTCCATATACTGACTGCTCATTTAAATCTTCATATATTTCACCTTTTCCATAAGAGAGGTAGGAAAACCTATTTATTTATTATGATTACTTGTCACCCTTAAAAGTCACCCTTGAAATCTGTATGTTTTTTTTTCAGAATATCGTCTTCATAAAATATTTTCGACTAGTTTTGTCCATCGAATCCATAGTACTCTTACCTTATACATATAGCATCTATACTCGAAGGATTTTAATATGACCTTTAGTTCTTAGGAACACTCACAAAAAGTATAACTTAAAAAAAGCTTGTTTTGAATGTTTCATTTACTTCAATTTTGCCCACGGATTGACATCAGCCAGAGAACCATTGAAAACCAGGGAATACTGGACAGCTTCTACATTAAGAAGTTAAAACATTCTGGTATAACCCAACCCTTACTCCTACAATTCGTTAATTCTCACATCCTGCCTATTATTCTCTATTGTTCCCCCTTAGTTTTTCCCGGGCTACTGAAGAAAGACTATAACATATTACGCAGGATGTTAAGGGTTGTCAGCAGAATAAGCAACGTGCCACTTAGCCAGCTTGTTAATATTCTGGTTGACAGGTACATGGACTCCTGTGAGAAATGGGCCAAGTTCATTTTATCTAACTCACACCACCCTCTTCACTCACAACTCTCCCCTTGTGTCTCATCAGGTAAAACCAGAAGCCAATATAGAAAACTATATGCTCACACCAGCAAGAACAAAAACTCAACAATACCCTACTTAGCTCGTGTTCTGTGTGATAAAGAAAGCATTAGGCGTGACACCTATAATTCATTAAATAGTCAGTAGTACAACTGGATCTCGTATTCCAACTCATATCATCAATAGGTACAACATTTTCTTTCTTTCTTTTCCTTTTCTCTCTCTCTTTTTCCGTTATGTGCTGCTTTGTTTCTTTCTTCCGCTTACGCCAGTAAATGTGACAGCTCCTACTTTTCTAACACCTTCAAACACTGTTTCAGCTTTACCTTTGCTACCGACATGCCAATGTGTTGTTGTAATAATGAACTGTGATTTCCTTAATCTATGTAGAATTCTATTTATTGATAATGTACTAACTGGATGCAATACTGTCGTAAAAATGCTGAGAATTCCATTCTGTATCACATGTACTGTTTTGGAATAAAGCAAATTATTATTATTATCCTGGTTTAGGACCTATCATCAGTACGCACCCACAGGATTTCGAGTCCAGGACCCTAAAACATTTTTCATGTACTACTATATTTTGGTGCAAACTAATTTTTACCAAAATTCTTATTATACAAATATTTTCAATCGAATGTCATTGTGAATGATACTACTCAAGATAATGAAATGAAGCGTCTATTTAAAACCTTGAAATAATATTGACAGCTGTCTTCAAAGTACGCAAACATTCCAAAGTCTTTTAGAATTTACACAAATGAGCTTTATTATATTAAAGTAATGATTTCAACTACTTCAAACAATACAAGTATGAATGTATCCTTTTTATTGTACAGCTTGATGTACCATAATGACTGGAATTTCCAAAGATATCTACTTTTCTTCCTAGAAATTTTATTTACTTATAATTAGTTTAAAACTGGAAAAATCTTATAGCTATCCTTTCATATAACAAAACTTTTCAAACTGATAAAAACAAATTGTATGTTTTTCAAATTATTGTAAAGCATAAATATTTATCTAGATCATAGTTTTGTATTGGAGTATTCTGCAGTTCTAAATGTTTATCCTCTACTTTTTGTTGTATAATTTAACACAGATCCATTACTAGACCCACTCTCTGTAAATGCAACTAATGCCGAAATACCTCTAAAAAGTGAAGTTGTCAAATTTGAATTACATCAAAATACTTCAAGTGCACTTAGTGCATCACCAGCAACAGGATGTTTTGAAAAATATTCTAGTTCGTCAGAAATTCATGCAGTTATGCCTATGGAATCTTGCTCTGAAAAGACACGGTCCAGTTCTGTATCCTGTAAACGTGAAGAGAATAAAAATAAAGTGAGTCTCTACAGATACCCATATATTTTAGATAACATAGCCTTATCAATACAGGTTAAATTATTGATATTAATGAAAATATATTTTTATATAAATTATTAATCAGGGGAAATATTGCTTTTCATTCATTTCGTCCCTTGTGACTCTTTAAGCAGGGTAAACTTTCTTAAAAGTTTCACATATAATTAATGAACCCGTTGTTAGTGGAACTAAGTTAACCTTCAATCGATAGACAGATACTGATTTAAGAGATGACGATTTAAGGTAAATTGAATGCCTGGATTGTGACAAGATTCGAACTCAGTTCCCTATGGATTATCAACCATCCTTACTTCTAGCTAAACCATAAACTCTAACTAGTTGTCAGGTTTTGACTTCAATTAGATATAACTTGTCATAAGTGCTTAAAAGTAATGACCGGAAGATGACGTTATTACATCCACAAAGCAGTTTCTCACTGTTTATATAGTGATACCTCTTTCAGAAGGGAGTCTATGGAATAACTGGGTTGATTTTTAGATATTCTGGAGAATTTTGCTCCAAACAGATTGAATTGATATTAATTCATTTCTACAATATCTTTCCACTGTTCTTAAATGTTATTTATCTGTTATGACGTCACCCCTTTGGTTTTTGCAATATGTTAATCTGAATTAGGACGTCAATCTGGGTAGAGACGTAGCGATCACACACTACCGCTAGGTTGATCCCTCATTGTATACAACAGCTACCTGACCTATCACCACCCACTATGCCTAAACCAAGACACAGTGATGTGAGACGAAGAAGTACATTTGTCAGTACCCAAATGAGTATCTTTACAAAAGAAAACAGTTATATATATATATATGGCCGATGATGCAGGGATGAGACAAGATGTCCGTGTATAACTGTCTATGGTTTATTTCTGGATTGTGCTTGATCACCACAACATTATCTAAATCTTCTATGAACGTTTACTATATTGTATCGAAACTATTCGTTCAATTTCATTAAAACGGTCCTTTCATTAAAGCGTAATTAACCTTCCATAGCTCCTCTGTATACATTTGAAGAAAAGAGGAAAAATTCATAGTATGCCGAGACATTTTTCACTTCCTGTTGTTTCAGCTTGTGAACAGAGGTATATACACAACTTAGGTTTTATTTCATATATTTAATTCCTTGTCTACACTTTCTGTTTCTTTTTAAGTTTTCAGTGACGTAGATGAATGCACTCTTTGTGGTCTCCCAGATTCATTGAATACTGATTATTCTCTACGTAGTTATTATTTCTCCATAAAATTTTTTTATTGTTGTTCTATTGGAATTCTTATTTGATATCTTTATGTGTGGTTTTATGAAGTAAAGTACCTCTGTGAAAAGTCCTATGTTGAAAATTCAGTCAGTCAAGTTGTGCGGCAAGATATGTACATTTTGGTGTATTGTACTTTGTTCCGTTAAGACTGTTAGGAAAGCATACCGTCTATTAAATCTCACGTTTCATAGTTTCTAATCATTTAACAAATCAAAACTTAAGCTAAGTAACTGAAAAACAAATAAAACTTCTGTTAATTTTACTAACTGTGTCAGTCATTTAAGAGGAATCTACTTGAGGAAATAGAAGCTGGTACATTTTGGCTTAGTTATAGAAAGTATTGAGAAATGTAGCTTTAGTGATTAATCCAAAATCTGTTCCTAACAATTATTACAATTTTATTAATCCATGAATTTTCGAAATTATATTTTGAATTTTTTGAATAATAAATGTAAACTATCTTGATGAGTTCCATAAAACAACGAAGGTAAATTATTAAAATTTGTTGTGAAGTAATTTAGAACTAGTGTCACTGGGTTATAGATTCATCGGGATTTCCAGAATTAATCCCAACTCATTTTAAAATATGTATTTTAAGTTTCATGATTTATTTTATAAATTTCAAATTGTTTTAACTTCATACTAGACTGAAATGTATTACCGGTGTAGAAATTTGCAAAGAAGTACAGTAGTTCAAATCGATCAATTACACAGATTTAGAAGAGAAAAACGTGAAGAAAGTATAGTGAATGTAAATATGCATGGCGAATAATGAGAATTTAGTGGATCTTGAAGTTCATAAAGAGTGAGTGTATTTGCGCCATTAAAGACGATTTAGGGTCATATCACAGACACTCTGATGCCACTAGCTTATAAAGACTTGTGGACCTCAATCAGGCAGCCTATACCTACCTACCTGGTTCAAACCAACTTTCAAAGACTTAATGGACTGATGCCGTATCTCTTTTCTAATCTGACTCTATGTCAGCTAACACTTCTTGACGGGAAATGTGATGGATAATCATTCGTGACACGCATCTTAGCCATATTGACCGATACTGTTTCGACTGACTTTCCCTTTTTTACCTAACACTCTGCACCCAACCTCAATATTACTCATCGTAAAGTAAGTGCTGGAGATATTGCCCGGAAGAAAAATAAAAGCGTCATAATTAAACCGTTCAGCTCAGATGAGACACTACAACGCCTAAGATATCTTGGGGCAGACAGAAAGTGTTTGAGCTCATGTATATATATAATTACTAATAATGTTATCAATAAGTTTTATAGTTAATTTCTTAAATTTTGTTACTCTTAAAGGAAGTTATAGGGGAATTAGAAACACTTGTGAATCAATCAAATGGACTGTTGGTTAATAAACCTAAAAATGATGGTGAAAATTTATTTTCGATGCGTAACACTGAAGAAAGAGAAGAGAACTCATGGAATAGTGACACAGAGTCTGAATCACTTGATCGAATGGCACAAATTGAAGCAGTAATGAATAAACAAATCCGAGAATATGTAAGTAACACTTAGATATGTTCTTGTTTTGTTTGACATTAATTTACCTCTGTTGATATTTATGGCGTGTTATAACTGAATTCGATTGTTTTATGCTTATCAAATTTTGATTATTTAATGTCTTGTCTACTATGAAGGGTGATATGCGTCTCATTAAGTCACAGTTTGACTGTAATACCTTCGTAAGACCTGTAGTTTATGTTATTAGTGGCTATTGTGACACTGTATACATTTGGAACTGCCAAAACAATAAGTGCGTCTACGCATTCATTATATTTGAAAATACTGTAAATAGAAATTAAAAGGCTCAAATCACTTAGAAGAGAATGCAAATTTAGGTTTTTTTATAGAAATGGGTCTGAAATGATATGATACGTATTGAATAGGGAATACATTTGAACCAAAAATCAAATTTGTAATTTGTAAATTAATTCGGAGTTTACACAGTTCTTGGTGGTTATTTCCTGTGATGGCTGAGGTCATTCAGATCACAGTCTGCCTGGTACCATGAATGATAATCACGAATCCAAGTGTAAATGCATTAGACTGTTTACTAATGACTGATTGAAACGGTTAGTTATATACCGCTCACACCAACCAGTAGTGCTTGCTAGCCAGATCGAAGTGATCGATCGTCCAATTCACGTAAATCACTTCAAATCTATAACCTTCTGTTCTAAATGAAATGTCATCGTCACATTTGCCGATATTTGTATTAGTGGTACTTATATTTTTGACTATCAGCTAATACATACCAGAGGAAATTTCACTGGGACCTCTTCTGGCCATTTTAATTCAGGTAGTTTATCTGTTCAAAACATTTCAGATATTCTGATCACACAGGTACTTGTCATACATATTTGTGTAAAAGGCCACAGATCATAAAGGATCAAAACGCTTACGGTCACGATGAAGTTTCGGTCATTTGCTTAAATCGCTTGAGATTTTAGACATAAAAAAGCATAAATCTGTTTTACGTGTTCAGAAGTTATTTGTTATTTTTAAACTTGCCTTGGTTTATTTTGCTTAGTAATATTTTCACCCCCCCCCGTTTTTTCTACCTCACTTTCGAAACTCTTATCTATGATATTCCCGCTTACACATTTTGATCTATATTGGTAAACACTGTGATCCTCTATGCTCTGTCACCTTTGTATAGATGTGTATGACAAGTAAGTGTGCCATGAGAATGTCCGAAGTGTGTTGGACAAAAAGGGATTAGACATTTCAGATAAATTACGTCTTCTTATTGTTTTGTCGAAATTAATAAAGGGAACTAACTGCTTTAAAATTCAGATAGACTACAGTTTGGCCGCGTACACGATTATGACTCACTATGTATTGGTGAGCCTCGCTGTGAGCTATTGTGCTTTCTATAAAATGTTCTGAAGAACGTTTTAGCACTTTCTTTTTGTGAGATAAACAGACGAAAACATTTTATAAAATTAATTCAATCTTCTTGTCTAGGAAGCATTACTTACTTCTTAACGCTACTATTATTTAATTGTGACTAAGTTTTGTAATCACATCATGTATACACACATTTTTAAACAGTTTTCTGAGATGCTTACAAGCTCAAAATCTTTTGATTTCTTAACACGCTGGGATTAATTTAAATAATTTATAATGAGTTTTCTGAGAGTTTAAAAAAATATTGTCATCAAATTCTTCCTTATGAAATATCAAGTTCTGCTTTTAGATAATAGTTTATTGCTTGTTATTTCATATTGATTTAGGCAAAAGTAAGCTTTTTGTCTCGATCTACTGGTCCTTCTACAACGTCACCACAACAGAATCAAGGAGATGCAAATTCATGCTTAGATAAAAATAAATTGGAAATTAAGAATATACCATGCAGTGAAAATAATATGAGATGGGATCAAAGTGATTGGGACTCAGAAAGTTCGACAGGTATTTCTTCTATTGAAGTAAAAGTAAATGATCAAGTGAAAGCATTCTTGCTTTCACCTAAGCATAAAATGTCACCTGTAAGTTTTGCTTTGTTTCAGATGTCTTTTATTTATCATAAGTGGTAAAAAATACTAAATGGCTGGTGATTGGAGAGTATGATCTGTATGTCTTGAAATCCATCGCGACAATAAAATTGCATGCATATTTTGTTTGAGTCTTGATTATAATATCTCCTACTTTCTAACTTACCTTATTTCTTTTTCATTTTGCCCTAAAACGCTCGAATACTGTCGTCTGTTTTCAGACTAAATCACGAGTTCACGTCAGTTAGAGAATCACTGAAAACCAGAAAATACTAGGCAGCTATGTCGGAAGCACGTATCTAAGACCTAACAAGGAATCGAACCCAGGTCACGAGGCCAGTGCATTGACTGTTCAGCCACTGGGAAGAAATCTAATGGCCAGTTCGCTATATATGACGACACTCCATCCAGTGTTGTCTGGAAGTATCTTTCCTCACACCTGATTAGGTGTATCCCATCGGCCATACCTTCCCACTAGAACTGCAGGCACTCCATCTTATAAACAGTCACTAGTCAACATTAGATTAATTTTCAGGTGTTAGTTGGTAGGAATTTGACTGATTAAAGATCACACCAGTAAATAGCATTAGTTAGAGGACCAATGAAAACCACTCATTTCAGTTCATTATCTAAGCTGAAATCAAACGAATCCCTGTAGAATAACACTTGAAACCATCGATTGTGTCATTTTCATTTTTCTACCTTCTTTTTTTACTAACTTCTATTAAAAGTACAGATGCGAGGTCTGGCGAATTCGGCTACTTCTTAGCAATGCTTTACTCTAATTTGATGATGTCTGTCTGTGTTGTAGGGTTAAACATATTAGGATATTTTATTTGGTATCTAGTGAAAACTATAAGTTTAGCCTTCTTATTTCACTGAAGTAGAAGCTTGTCGGTCACCTCATTTCAGTGGACGCTAGTGTATGATAACCTTTTGTGATTCAGTCAACAGTTACATTGCAGATTAGTAAAACTTCTATTTGGTTTATTGGTATGCCACTACACCACTAGTGAAATGTGAAGAAAACATATTTTGCATTCACGGTACTGTAAAAAACATACGTCTCTTTAAAATATGTTTATCACTACTGTAATCAGATGAAAGTTATCACTGTTAGGATAATTTTGGAATTTTAAGAATTATTTAAGAATCTAGACGTATAAGTAATAGTGAGTAAGAAACGGAGAATGAAGTAGCAGTGGGTTATAACTGCGAACTATTCAAGCCTATAAAGAAAGTGGACTCCAAAAAATCCTTTGATAATTGAAACTGTTTCCAAAAAGGATTGAGTTGTGTTCAAGAGAGACAGTTGAAACACTAGGCAGAACACTTTGACGAGCAGTTCGATTGGCCTGTAACAACATTATGCCTTCTCGCCATTCAACCGCTCCCTGAACGGGATGTAGTAACGGACAGTTCAACTGTAGCTGAGGTTTCAAACGCTGTCTCTTTTGTTAAACCATGCAGAACAGTGGAACCTGATCACATGACATAGTCGGATTTTGAGGATAATGGTGATGGATTATTGATCAGATGGACTAAGGTATGAACCAATGTATGTGAATCTGAAATATATCCACCACGATGATGTTAATCATCGCAGTTTATAAGAAGGGAGAGAAATCTCCCTGTGATAATCGTACCCTCAGTAACTTGATTACCAATAGTACCTAAGATTATAACTTCCATAGTTCTGCAAAGACTGTACTGGACATGAGAAAATAAAGCAGGCTTCAGCGTAGGGTGAAGATGTATTGGCCAAATATTTACCCTCAGACAGGTGAACAGATATACTTGCCATTATCTGACAGATGATGTATTACTTGGAAAAAAGGAGAACTTTTGTAACTCAGGTGGAGGATTTTGGTGCTATTGTACTGTGCGACGTGGGTGGTTTAACCGCAGAGCTTTTATTATCTATATAAACGAAATCTACTCCGTTTACTTTAAAATGAAGTGGTCTTCTACAGTCCCTTATGAACAAATAACAGATTTCACTGTGAGCTATAGCTGTAATAAGTTATTTCCGAATATTGTTTTGTCGTTCCATTCATCCTTATAGGTACCGATCATCTAATTGACCTAATATTTGACCCTATGACTTTGATCCTCACTTTTTTATCGATTGATAAATTTAATCTATCTCCATAAAACTCTTAATAGCAAACTGATCTGAGTAGCGAGCACCTAGGAATTTCCTTGCACTCTTTGTATTTCCATTGTTTAAAATCCCACACTTTTCCGTAGTTTTCAGTGCTAGTTTTTGTTCATGGATAATAAGACGAAGTCTATGTCATGTCCTTCAAAGCTGATGCAATGTATCTAATAAAAACTGTTGGTTTTGTCTTCGTCTACGGTCGAGTCTTTTGATTCACATCATATTTATGGCAACATTACCCCACTAACCCCCTTACCGACTAAGGATTCTTAATTCTAGTTGATCTCTGGAGCATCATAATAGTCTTGTTACATCACTAGATAACTCATTCATTCACTGGGTTCTACTTCTTTCTCCCAGTAATTCACCATTTTTCATTTTCTGGTATGAATTATCAAAAGATATTGATAATTTAGCACAGTGGAAACATTGTGCAGTAGTCCTGATAAGCCAGTTTTTATAAATTTTTACATCCTTCAGATTCTGTACGTGGTGTAATTTGTTGAAATTATTATTTTAAACGTCATCCTTCACCAGGATATATGTATATCTAGTTCACCAGACACAAATAGGATGAATGGCGTCTTCTGGATCCTGCTGTTAATCTCCATCAATTGAACTACACCATATGTGGTATCTTCCATTGAAAGTTTCACTATTTATTCAGTTACAAAGGAGTACCTTAACAATTTCAGTAGAATTTTTCAGTTCATTATTCTTCCATTCATATTCTTCGAATAATTACTCACTGAAAGTAAATTTTATTTCAGTGCATATATATGTATATAAACTTTATCTTATGCGAGGCAAATGTATATATATATATCTGTTTGTGTATTTAGAATGGAGACTACTGTCAAGATAATAGACTCACCAATGGTTATAGTATCAATTCTACAAATAAAGTACCCAATCCATCTATCAATCAAGAAGAGTCAAATGCACCTACTAAAGAGGTAACATATAGTGACAAGTTGAAAGAAATCGATTGGGATTCAAGTTCAGATATCGATAATAGCATTAAAAATATACCTTTGGTAAATGATATATCTAATGGTGTTAATCATTTAATAAATAATAAAACACCTAAAAACCTTAATAGTTCTCCTACTTCGGACTTGAGCATGAATAAGAAAAGTTTAGTTTATTTAGAGTCTCATCACCCCATGAATGAAATGGAGTTACAAATTAATCGGAAGTCTGACACAGAAATGAAACCTTTAGAAAATGCTGCCGATTTCGGGAAACAAAATGGTAAATTGGTAAGTATTTTCTGCCTTATTCATTTTATTTATATACTTAACTAATCTATATTAGTGAAGGCGTTTTCATACATGATGCCTGATGCTAAAACACTTTCCGAATACATCTCCTAACACTACCAGGCGTGACAACCAAAAGGACAATACGAGTCAATTACCAGCTCAGTTCTGGTGCATCTTGTGAATTTAGACCACCGTATCTTCAACGACTGGGCACATGGTTTGGGTTCCATAACCGGCCGACGCTTTTCTAAACCTCAGATAGTCGTCACTAAGCCCAGGAAAGAGCTAGGATTGGGTGACCTCACTCCATAAAAATAGCATCTCCAGTAAAACTTCAAAAGCATGAATCCGTATGTTCAACTGAGTAGACAAAGGAATAAAAAATTCTCCACTAGAATTTTGTTTTAAAATTATCTACAAAGTAGGACGGATCGGTACAAGGGGTAATAGATTTTAACACTCGAGTATGTTGGGAGCCCTAGAGATTCGTCAACTCAACTGTGTGCAGAAACGGTGTGCTCAAAACTTCATTATACCATGGTTTTAGAGTCGTCTATTTATAGTAATTAATTCACTGTTATTGCTCTTACATGTCTCTTCTGTACATTTTACCAGTTATTGTTTTGTTCTCACCCTCTTCACATCTTCCAAGCAGAAACTCAGCTACCTTTCTTCTTGCCTAATAATTATCTCGTAAAACCCTTTCTGAACAGCTGTATCAGTTATATCACACCGTCCTGTAACTCAATAATGGACTACAATATTCATAGCAAATATAAATGCGATTGTATATTCCTTGAAGGCGACTTCTCTGAATTCTTTTATTTTCCTGTTTAAACTATAATTTTCCTAGTTTTGTATTTTAGTAGCCTCTCGTAATATTTTTCCCCTTTTCTTGTCATTTCTCTTAAAGACATTTTTATGAGGCCACCACTTTTTCATGGATTTTATTTGACCACAAGAAACCGGATAGCTTCACCAGATGTCCTTGAAAAATATCTGTTTCCAGACTCAACCTGACGTACCCCGCTGGAAACAGCTTTCCATCATTTCTAAACCACTCCCTAATTAACAGTCTATTATTATTCAGACCGTAGGGTTGTGGAGATTTGAATTCTCTCTCTCAGTCAAAATAAAAACCTGTAGGATTCGATGTCCAGTGGATTTAAACCCAGATGCGAAATGGTAGCATGGATGTCTTACGCTACACTTCGTATGGGAACACCAGTGAAGACTAATAAATTAATACAGAACAGTTGTTCATTTTCAGTGACACTAACTGTTGCAGGTCCTTAAAGAGATCTACATTTTAATTATTGAAATTCCTACAGACCTAACATCTAGATATTCATTATCTGTCGTTACATATGCCTGACATCATGATTCGTTTATTTAAAAAAAATCACTATTCTTATAAATCATGGCTATCTCAGGTTTTGTAAACATACCTGTCTAGTGATAAGTAAAAAAATGTAGGCCTACAGGCACTTTGATTCAGCTTAGGATATTTAAAGTACTCGACTGTTGTCTCATTAATCTTGGGTACTTAACCGTTTGTGTTAAAAAATAGCTGGCGATAATAACTTTTTCAGAGGTATGTTAATAGACACTGTTCACCACTGATATTGGTTATTTATATGAAATAAGAATTTAGTGGACAACATTTCTATGTCGAAAGCCCTGCATATAGAAACTTTTTATGGAATAAATTCGGAGTTTTTCAAGCCGATTTTTATTTATCCGCTGGGTAGAAATTAGTAAAACTTATTATATACGTGTGAAGATACAAGGTGTACTCTGTGGATTTACTTAGATTTGTCTTCAGTGACCTTCGATTACTGCCTTCCAATATTGCATTGACACGACTACTGTGTATTTCTCATACCTTTGATTAACATCCTGGAAAAATAAAGCAGAAATAATTTACATTATTTTTCATTAGGAGAATACAGCAGTATTTTAGTTTGTGGAAGCCTTACTTTTACTACATAATCAGTAGAGATATATCTTTCAAAGTTTGATTATGTAAGAAACACTAACTCGTCAACTGCTAATTGCCATCAGTATTGCAATGAAAGATATCTTGCCGTCTACTCTTTCGAATCTCTGACTGATAAATTGATTTGCAGAGGTTCTTCGACTCGTGCTTGTGAAAATGATTTGTACAACATAGAAAACCTATTAACGTCACCACTAGCGGTGTTTAGACTGGTACTTTACACCAAAAGCAAATGATTGAATGGTTTCATTTCGGGTTTCTGATTACACATCGCAAAAGATTTATGCCTTAAAGGTGGTTAGCAAAGGAATTTTCTAGACATTTCATGAACACGAAATAATTCTTCAAGACGTTATTTGTGATGATTACTACTATACCATAATATATTTACAACTGTTCTTATAAAGTAGAAATAGGTTGCAGTCATTATGTCAGTCTTATAGTGATTGTCTTCGTATTTCGACTTCAGTTTACTTAGATAGCCCTTAATTTTACCAACTTACTAATGTTGACTGACTAAATTTGTACTGACTTTGATTATTTCTTGTGTTATCATTATTATTGTTTCCATTAATTCCTAGAGGAACACAGGGCTTCAGCCGTGCGTCTCCATTGCGTTCGGTTCTCTGCTAGAGTCTTCACCTGGCTCCACGTCTGCCCACACGTTTTCGTCTCCTCTTTTACATGAACTCCTCCAAGTCACCCTTGCACTGACGACCAACTCGCCGCTTCCCTTTCGGATTCCAACCAAGGGGTTGTCTAGTGATGTCACTTGCTGGTTTCCTCAGAGTATGACCAATCCATCACCATTTCTTCCTGCCTATTTGTTTCACAATCGGTTCCTGGTTGGTTTGCTCCCAGAGATCCCTGTTGCTGATCTTTTCTGGCCGGCCATCTGATCTTGAGTATTGAGCGAAGACAACTGTTAATGAAGGTCTGTAGTTTGTTTGAGATGCTCTTTATGACGCGCAGTGCAAGTCTCTGCTCCGTATAGTAGCACTGACTTCACATTGGAGTTGAAAATCCGGATCTTATTTTTGATGCTGAGAGTTGTTGACCTCCACACAGACTTGAAAGTAGTGAAAGCTTGTCTTGCTTTTCCGATTCTTGCTTTGATATCCTCGTCAGTTCCGCTTCCTGACTTCCTTATTCATGACATTAATAAGTGTACAATTTTTGGTTTGATATTTTAAGTAACTGTTGATAGTTTAAGCTTTGATTGGCCATGATTATTCTTGCGACATCATAAAATTCTGTAATTCAGAGTACTATATTGGATTCTGTCTCATCACACTTAGAGTAAAGTTATTTCTGTTTCTTGTATGACCATTGTAATTTTAGTCAGCCGGGTACTGAACAGCGCTTATGAAACCGAATGATATCGTTATGTTGCCTGAATTCGGCTTGTCTTACTTTATTCAAATAGTGGGTTGTTGCATTCAAAAACTAATGAAACACAAAAATTATAATTCTTTGAGAAACTACTAGTGTTTCAGTTTTGTCGGTGTTGGCAAATTGTATATATGCATCTTTTAACTGTGAAAAGTGGTCACTTACTCCGAATACTTAGGTAATACTAGAGAAGTTTCATTTCTTATGACATTTACTATTGAGAATCATATGATGACTAGTTTTAACAAAATATGATGACTATGTCTCTAGATAGTGCTAAATAAAACTTTCATTGGAGACGTTTACTCCTTTTTACCTTTCTGAAATTTTGTTTCAGGATACTCCTGACTACGGAGAATCTCATTCACCACTAAATAATGCTGATAAAGTTATTAATTCGGATTCATCAGATGATACAAGCACCTATGATGAAGTGGACAGTTTATCACCGATTACTGAGGAAGAAGAAGATGGCGATGAAATGCTAAAGGAGAAACGTAAAGTCATAAATAAAGGGCATACAGTCCAATGTATCACACAATCTTCAACAGATGGAAGAAAATACAATACAGTGGTAAATTATGTAGATTTTAGACTTAGGGAGATTTCATCATTTTCCTATCATTTTTATTTTATAAATATATAATTAGGTATATTTTTAGCAACAGCATGTTTACTTGTTTAGTTGTGGATAGCAGTGCAATCCAGGACTCGAGTTTCCTCCATTTTGAGATTTTTCAGTTGAATGTACATTTTCTAGTGAGGAACGGTGTTCCCAACTGACTATTCATAAAATAGGAAGGAATACGTGACTCTTAGTCCACTGTTACTCGCCATCATTATGAAACTTTGAGTTATTGACCATGGTAACATTGAGGCATCTGTTCAAGGAGCCCTTATTCTAGATAAGGTTGACCAGTTAGGTCTATATATATGAATGACAAATTACAAATATGAATAAAAGTGGCGAATAAACTTGTTCCTAAAAGTATGACAATGGCTGACTAGTATTCATTATGGATAATAGCTGTCTTCTCTTGTGACGTTTGGTGCAAAAGGGTAGAGGTTTTTTCGAATTTCATCATATTAGGATACACTGTTTAAATAATTTGTTCTCATGTTAAATCTCGTCTGTAGGTAAAGAGTTTTGCTTTCCTTTTAGCAATTATATTATAAAATTAGATTTATCATGCAGTGCAACTACATCGCACTTCTTTATATATATTTTATATCTATGATAATTTTGTTTATGATTTACTGACAAAAACACTATAGCAATTGCCCACTCTGTCAGTTGGTTAGCACACGGAAATCAGTTAATTGGCTTTTTGGGTTGAATCTGTTTCATCTACCTCAGTAAGGTATATTAGAGGATATAGAATAAGATTTTCAGGAAGATAGCCGGAAATGTAGTGCCATTCTGTAGAACTGTAGCCTCATATGACATAACACTAACCAGCGTAATAACTGAAGCCAATGGTTGTAGACGATGAATGATATCCTTGAGAATCAGTTATTCTAGCGAAGATATATTCATAAGTGATATTCATTTTACTTTTCATATCATATTTATCTTGCACTTTATTTCTTGTTTCATGGTGTTTTATGATTTGTATAACAGCAGAGTTACACAGTCATCTTTTTTCACATAATCATTTTACTCATTAGCGTTTCCAAGACACTATGAGCTGTTTTCTTTTCTTGTAAAATTCCTCATCAAGGTGTACTCATGGTCTTTCTTAAACAATTACGGAAAAGGTTCTTGCTCTGAAATGAACCAAACAACTTTGACTAATAATGTTCACTGAATTTTAATATTTGGTTTTCTAAAATACAGTAACTTCTTATTTATGTAACATTTAAGTAATAAATAATTCTTTGACGGTATACCTGAATTTTGCATAACTTTCATCATATACTACGAATTTCATACAATTCAGTGGATTTACCTGACTTGATTTTTAGTCATTACAAAGATACTGTCAGGTAGCGAGTAGTTGTTTACTTATATATTGGACTGTTGGTCGTGAAATTCCCTATCCTGTAAGTGGTGATTGTAATCTATGTTGAAACTTCAAAGCTCTCCTGAGTATTTTTTTGTTTCATGGAATGATTTCATGCAATTATTCAAGGATCTTTAAACATATTTTATGTAAATCCTCAAGCTAAAGTTATATGAACATATGAGGCATATTAAAGCAGGGTAGGAAAAGCAGAACAAGTGAAAGTCTGGTAATTTGACCAGTTTGTCCATACTGACTGTAAAACGGATATTCCGCCCACTGATGATAGCTTTATGTTAGGAATATGTCGATTAAGTTGCTTGTCACGTGCGATTGTTTGGAAGATAAATTCGATCACGAACATTAGTGGTTAGCTTTATAGTGGGCTTTACGACGACTTATTTTAACACGTCATGAGCAGTGGAGTTTATCGTGTCATCTTCAAGAACAGGCAATTGTCAACGTTATTAGGTATCGATGGTGCTATACTTTGGTCGAAAAAATGATGGGTTAAATAATTCATGCCGAGTGGTTGACTGTTGAAGTGCTTACATCATAAACTGACGACTGTTTTAGCTATAATCCCTTAAGGGGTTATTAATGTGCACTGCTGCAAAGAGTTTATGTGCGTCGGTGGCACAGTGGTTAGGACTCTCGCCGACCATGCACATGGTCCGGAGTTCGATCCCCCGCCGACGCACACCCGATATCTATGGTCGGCCTGCAAAATTTGGGCTACCGATATCCATGCTGAAAATTCCATACATGTACTGAAAATACGGTGTGGCATCAAGCTGTAACAAAAAATTAACAAAAGTGTTGTTCCCTAACTAATGTAGTTTCTTGATGGTGTCTACCTTAAAATACTTTATTATTGTTTTTGTTACACCCCATACACACGCCTTTAATGGTTCTCTTCTGTATTGCAGTAGACCCCTCTTCGTACTTTTGTTGGTTTATTAAAACATGAGGTTGTGTGTAATCACAATCTTTATTTTAAAATTTTTAAACATTACTTGAGTGAAATGTGAGATAATAGACGTAGGATATTACAATTATAAAAGAATATTGAATTTTACTGTAAACACACACGAGTGATATTCCTTCTCTTTTTTTGTCAGCCTGATGTACTACTTCCTTTATCTGAAATCGATGCTGTACAAAGATTTGAAGATACTGAACCTATACCTGCTGTTCCATACAGTGAACATTCTTCGGATAATAGTAGAATTCATGAGTCAAATGATAAGATACAATGTTTATCTCGATCTAAAGTGATGAATGGTACTGAGCATACACAACAGGTAATAATAACACTTTAAAACAGTCTGAGTTATAGTAATGTCAAGGTTTACGGAACAAAATTTGAATATTAACGTCTTTTTCACGTCACTAGTGACTGGATTTGTTTGGCTTTAGTGAGGAATCGTGATTGGTGAGATTCACAAAATCTTGGTGTGAAAATAAATTTTTACTGATTTCATTAGCGGGTGTAGAACCTTGTCTTAGGCAGAAATTAAAATCCACAGGCCACTGAATTCCTGTTCTGTGGATTAATCATAAACGCACTGCACTCCTAACCTGAAGGTCTTGAGTTTGCTAACTAGTGAGGCTATGGTGAGAACTATGGGACAGTACCAAACTACTGCATAAAAGCTGTCCACTTTCCTGTGGTTTTTAATGATTCAATGACTCATGATAGAGATCTACACTGGAATTAATTACACTTTTGCAAACTGAATATTTGAACATTTTCTGTTTGAAATCTGCAATTCTCTAGTAATCTTCTTTCACTATCATTTGTAGTATTTACTCTAATTAGTGGGTGTTGATAAATCACAAATAATTCTATGAAAAGTTATTTGGATGATATTTTTCTTCAGAATAAGTTGAGGGAATAAATTATTCATTTTTCTGATTATTGTAGAATAGAATGAATAATGTGAATTATGAGGCTGTTTCCTAGTACCGACTGAATTCTATTAGTCCAGTTTGTAGTCACTAAACTAGGTGACCTATACTGAATTATTATAAGATGGTTGGAGACAATCAGCAGGAAGCTTCAGGCTTAGGTTCCGTGGTTAATACTGCAAGTCAGGAGGGCATAACCACATCTCCAGTAGAATTACACTCTCCTAAAAGTTTGTACCCAATTCACCCAGTGCTACAGTCAAAGATGTTACAAATAATCTGTATACTTGAAGAAATAGGCTAATTTGCTATCATTAATTTGTCATCATGATAGTGATGTTGATAATTACGACGACTCCAGAAGAAACACATTCACCAGTAAGTTGCCAGCATTCTTCCCAAAATAGTCACTACTATACATTTATGTTTAATTTCAGATACCATACAATTCGGTTACTGAAAATTCTGAAGTGAAAAACAATCCCATTTCAACAACACTAGAACAACATTTATCTACAATGAATGGTATACCAACGCTGACTGATCATTATGTCGTGATGTCAAAAAATCAGAAATCAACACAACCATTAAAAAGTGATCAAACATTTGATTATTTTGAACTGAATTCTATGGGAAGACTAAATTCTGAAGCAGGTGATTCATTACAAAACATTTCTATGCACAATGGAGAAGCAGCAGTTTGTGGATTAAATGAAGATTCAAAAGATAATCAAAGTATAATGTCATTCGAAAAATCAAGTCCAAATTTCAAGTGTAGTTCACCAAGAGAAACTTCTACAAGATCAACGAGGTCAAGGTGATTTCATGTTCAAAGTGATGTTTTAATATTATTGTAAATGGTGGTTAGACGAATTGACGAAACGTCATTTTAAAGGTCTCATGAATTTGCTGGAACTGCACGTTTCGCGGTTTTCATTCAAATATTTCCATGAGGAAGTCTACGAGAGAGAATGTATACTCTACACGAGAAACTGCTACATGTTGTCTGGTTGGTAGGGACTAGTAGTGAAGTCTAGGGTAGGCGTTTCTTCCTATTTGAGACATCAAATGGATGTACCTACATCCTCAATGAATGATAATATTCTCACTGGCACACGAGGCCATTGCCCGTCATTTGAAATGATAAGGATTTATGCATATAACTTTCATTTCATTGAAGCTACCTCTTGTGTGTCCATTATTACTTGTTGTTTGCTGTAATTATTATTTTGAATTTCTCATTTCATTGGACGTAAATGGTCAGTCTCTGTTGACATTCCAACAAAATTACTCCATGTTTTAAAATTTCAGCCGTTTCAAATGATATTTTAAATCAAATTAGTATGTCACTTTAGGCGTTTATATTTGTGAAACATAAGCTTTAGCTAGCTGTATTTAAATTCGTCTCTTTAAGGGACCTCATCCGTTACGACTGTAAGCGAAGATTTTAAACTGTAGTCACATTTGATATCCGAAATTTTGTCAAAACAGTTGCGTCGATGGCACAGTGGTTAGGACTCTCATCGACCGTGCACATGGTCCAACGTTCGATCCCCTGCCGACACACACCTGATATCAATGGTCGGCCTGCAAAATTGGGCTACCGATATCATGTGCTGAAAATTCTATACTTGTACCAAAATTACGGTGTGGAATCAAGCTAAAATAAAAAAAGGAATGATTGAATTGGAATTCAGGTAAAATTATTCCGTCATATTAGAAAGCCTTACAAACATTCTAGATACACTTGGCCTTTCCGGTAGGTTCTAATTTATCCTAGATAACTCTCTGAAAACTTCAGATTATAGTTTTTCATATTCCCATTACTATAATGTTTAATGCGTTTTAGCAATCACTTATTACTATAACTTCTCACTGACAACCTTATACTGAATTCATGTGGCGTGCTTCTACCATCCTCTTTTCATATTGTAAAACGTGATAATCTTCACCTAATCCCTATGAAACGCATTGATATACAGGTTAATTCATGTGTACAAACATGATAACTGCCACCTCTTGTCATAAAATAAGTAATTTTAATTTTAACTCCAGGAAACACAATGGTATACACCGGTTGACTATTTTTGACCATATAGCATAATGTTATTAGAAGATATGTAGAATACTCGTAAAGCGACTTTTCTCTGCTAAGTCTTTCAAAGTTTTTATTATAGTTGAATACACCCCACAAAGGCTATCATTTGCATTCTTGTGAGCCGCTCTTATATCATTCCTGTTTTCTTTTAATATGGTTTTCTAGTGACAGACAGTTTCTTAATTTACAACCCCTTGTTGTTGAAAGTCGCAGAAGAGTATTATGTACATCAGTTGTTGTTGATCCAGACTCAAAGTTCACTTCCAAAGGTGCAACACTTGATACAACACTAGAAGATACAGATTCGATTAGTTTGGATACAAATTTAGAACCTAACTGTCACCTTGATGAGTTACACCAAACAAAATCCCCTGAGAAAGACAAAACATCATACAGGTAATTCTGTGTGTTTTTATATATATTCATTTATAAATTAGTAAATAAATCGAAGATTTGTTTACTTTATCCTCATAAAAAGCCATGGAATCTTTGAATGTGTAGAAATGTACTATGCATGCACGCGTCTTATTTTAATCAGATGCGTGACGCAGATGTTGTCTTATTATTTCATGTGGTAGTGTAGGAAACCAAAGCAAACTGTGTATCAAAATACTGAAGTTGAATTCTATCTCCAACGTTTGTTAATTTATCTATAATTATCTATAACAGTAATAATTAAAATGAATTTGGTGGAGGTTTAGATTAATCTGTGGTCTATATTCACAAATGAAGATTATGGGAATTAACTGAGAAAATGTATATAGTATTTAACTGGTTCAGTTTGTCTTTCTTGCACATAAATCTGTGTATTGGAGTCCTAGTGATAACAACCATCTGTTCGGAAACAGGCATAGAACTGAATAATATTAGTAATTCAATGGTTTTATTTTCCATGACTTATTTGTTTGTTTGCTTCTGTGATCTTATTTTGCTACTAATTGACTTAGTAAGCATGTACTACTGAACTGAGTTTTGAATGCAGAACTTCGCGTAAAAGTGCAGCAGTTCAAGTTAGTACACCTCACAAAGGCACACATAAAGGTAAGGAAGAAGACATGAAATGTAAGGAAAGTATAATAAACGGAACTTTACAGGAGAAAGAATAATTGTATAGAGAATAATGAGGATTTGTCCAATCCAGGGGATTACACAAAATGAATGAATGCATTTGCGCCACTGTCAAAGATTTTCAGGCATGTCACTGACAGTCCTCAGGCATTGACTTATAGGGACTATAGCACCCCATCCAAGCAGTTCATGCCTTTGTATTGTTTCAAACTGAAGGTCAAAGACTTCATGGATTATTGCCATGTTCAGGTCTGATCACGCGAAACTCTTTTCCGAAGGAATCCTGTTTTAGTTAGCATTGCTCGTTGAGAAAGGCGATAGACTGGCATATGTAAAACATGTCCTAGCCACCTCAATCTATGTAGCTTAGCAACCTCATTGACTCACTTTGCCTTCTTATCTAACACTACGCCTAACCTAACTTTTATTACCCATAATTATGCCTAATACGAGAGTTAGGATGTAGACACTTTTGTATAATGATTTACGTATATGGAGGAGTAGAATATCGCCAAATACTGCTAATAATATTGCTGAAATTTTTATTCTAAGTTGCATTTATTTAAAACATTTGAAATACCAGATTTTCATAAATGAAAAATTCTCATTTTGTTTTTATCAATTATTTTGCCTTCCTGTTGAATTCCTCTGGGTTATATTTGAAGCGTACGCAAAAGTTTATTGCCTAATCAAATGGATTCAAATGAAAGATCCGATATACACTCAAAGTCTTCATGTTTAAATGATACAAATAAACTTGTAGTTCATTTTAACCAGGATGAAAATCTACTCAATAAATCCAAGTTGGCAAATCAAGTTGATTTTGATCAGATTAAACCTACTCAAAATGAGGAGTGCAAAGAGGAGAAATTGGAGAAATTTTTAAATAAATGTACCAGCGTTATAAGTCAAGAATGTAAGTAAGACTTGAAGGTAGGGCTATTTGTCATATTATTATGATTACTATTACAAGCTGACGCATACTTTAAAAAACAATAATATAACATTTTCTCACGAAAAGCTGAACAAATCTAGAATATGTTTTCACTCAGTGGATGGAAATGATATTTTGCACTGTTTGCTTTCTGTAAGATCTCTCAATGAACATGAAGAATAAGAGAATTTCTGAAGAAAACATTCACAAATTACAGCTGTTTGGTCCCAGTTTGGGACTATTCGATAGTCAGGTCATGGTTGGGCACTGATGAGGAGTCCCAGACTCGGATGAAATAGCTAACCAGTGTTATTTGTATTTTTATGATTCTCTAATTGATGTTGGTCCGTCGTGAAGTTCACACTGAAATTATTCCAAATTGTCATAAAATCCCAAATCTGGAATATATGGAACACAACTTATAATCCTAGCTTGTTGTATAGCATCCACATTGCACACAGTCAAGGGTGAAAATCTATGTTAGAAATGTCGCTCGAAACCGTACAAATCTGGAATATGAATTGATTTCTTTTTCTGGAAAGACTATCCTGGATATCAAATGATGCAGAAAGGCAAAATACTCTTTATAAGTTTAACTCAATCAAACAATAAATAAATCTACCTCAAACATGTGACATTCACTTATACTTAACCATCCCATCACACATTTATACGCATATTTGTTCCATAAAACTTTGAAATAAGGTGAAGTTGAATGAATAAATAAAAGTGAAAGGAATAAAGGCCGACTAATAAATAAAATAAATTTTATGCTATAACACTAATATAAGAAGGAGTTTATATTAAAACAAAAAGTGTTTTCAAATGTTTATCAGTCAGGTAAAATTTTTTCTCATAACCACAACTCAAAGATTTAGATATACACCCTTAAACACTTTTAGGACGATAGTTTGAAATTCTGCTCGCTTGCCACCTTGGAATTATATGTATATATGCGTGCGGTGATAATCTGTAAAAGTACTCGTTATGCGACCTGTTTGTACGCACACACACACACACAAACAGAAGAGTTAGTAACTACCATTCTTTGTAATCGGAGACATTCTTTATGCTTGCAGTCAATGCACAAAGCTAAAAATTTGTCCTATAACTCCACTGACCTTAACTAACTTTATTTTGAATTACAAGATATCTGTAACTGTTCATTTTCTTTTACTAACGCCTAAATCTATGCTAAATAATATGACTTCAGATTTCATCACAAACTGGCAGCGCCTAGAAAACCATTTAAAACTTAGGAGTGCTAGTCAGCTGCTTCGTCCTAGTTTGGAACTTCTGTGAATTCGCAATATACAGCGCATTAGAATTAATGCGCTGTTGAATTCTGACTCAGTGGTTCAATGGTAACGTGCTCGTATTGGCACTTGAAAGGTTGTGCATTAGTTTCTCCGTGGTATCATGTGTGCGAACTGTTAAATGGTGTCACAACAGAATGAGACATCTGTCTAGTATTAAGAACACAATATCAGCGAATTAGACAAAAGGTGTGAATACATGAAATAATAATATAGTCTAGTACTCCCTGGTTATCAATCGTTTTTTTGATTGATGTCGGTTGGCGCTGAAATCATACTTCAAAGCAATCAAGACCCTGCAAACCAACATCTATAAATCATCAGAAATACGTTCAACCCATATACATATATGTATATACATATGTATGTATAAAAATCATTACATACACATTATATGATGGCTTATCGTAGTGACCACACGTATTCACAGAAAAGATTCAGTATACAATGAACTACTTCAGTGCAATGTTTTAAATAAATTAGGTGAAAAAATGATATAAAATTGTAATTAAAACAAAGTGTATACAATACAGAATGTTTTCCTCAAGTTAAAATGGTATTACATTTCTTATATCACCTTACATTTTCTACAAGAAAACTTGCTTTTTTCAACTGCTAATCACATTTCTACCTGCTCCCGTCTATTCATTGGGGTTAGGTATGAGAGCATGACATGCATATGGAGTCAGGCTTAAAAGTGTACGATGATTATTTTGTACAGCCTACATAAAATGCTTCTATTCAGTCATCGCATTTTACAACATACTATAAATATTTATCTCTCTAATCAAATTTATTATGAAGGGAAATTAAATTTAATCTTTATACTAGTTTTAATGTTAAATCATTAAGTTTTTGTGTTAGTATCAGGAAGTTGGAATGTCTTATTTTGTCACTTTTATGTATCAAGAATTTTATGACTAGTTTTCACCACACTAGGCTGGTGTCAAACGACTCTTGAAGTATTAAAAGAAGAGACTTAAGTGATGAAAAACAGCTATAGATTGAATGCTTTTTATAGGAATTACTTGAAACAATGGAGAATCTTCATAGCTAAGGTTGATATTTCTTCTGACCTGGGTGACCTAGTTGTAAACCTTTTGAATGCCCTTCTAGACAATATCTTTAGCTCTTCAATAATAATATCAGCTTTATTCTGGAAATTATCTGTAAGCAGAACACAGAATTCTTAAAGTAATTTCCAGGACAAAATTGGAAGATTAAAACAACAAGAGACGGAGAGAAGTAGACTCATTATTTTTCCATACTTTTGCTTTCCTAGTGGGACATAGGGTTTCAAGCTTGAATTTTGAAGTTTCAGCAGCAGTGGTGTTCTTTTGTGAAGTGAGGTTACTAGCCTCATGCTCAACTTTCCCTCTTTGCCGGGTTTAGTACGAGCAAAGCGAGGTGAGAGAGAGTGTGTTGGCCGGGAATCGAACCTCAGGCCACTTACATGGTTCGCGAGTGCTGGATAGGAATTTAGGCAGTTCAGTAGTCTAAGTAGGCCAACAGAAATCAAGTTGAATTCAGTTTTTTGTAGTTCTCCGTGACTGACATAACTACTGTCACTTCTGATGACTTTGACTGTAATAAGCTGTCTTCAGTTGCCATTTTGTTGTGTATATTAAATGTGACTTTAACAATTCAGTATTTATATTTGTTGCGCAATACTATGATTCACATTAGTACCTTTTTCCCTAGTAAACACTTAAAACTATTCATTCATATGACACTGAGAAAGTGATGTTATCACTCAAAACGAAACAAAATAATGAATTACTTACAAAAAGATTAATTATCATAAGATTTAATTATATGTTTCAGTGGACTTTTTGAACAGTGAATAAAATAACACGAAAAATTGGGCACAAAAGTGCACTAACTTTTATCCGCACACTTTCATAGAAAGTAATTCAATAGCATCGTATATCTGGAAAAAAATATCAAAAAATGAAACAAATAAATATATGATATCATATCATATTCAAGATGCGGAGGTAGGCAGATAATTAATTCACATATACTGCCTATATTTTAGAGTTTTTCTGAGAATTATTTACTGATTAAGTCAACCAATAAACACTCGAAGTAATCAGCGTGGTGAACTTACACCATTTGATGAATTGTCTAGATAGATGGCTTACTGTTTCGCTTGTTAAGTATTTCCTTTTTTAGACATAGTTTCTTGATATCCACATCGGTAGTTACAATTTTCTAATGAGGTAGCACTTAAAACAGAGTTTAGAATTTCACTGAAAGATGTCAACAAAAGTTACAGTTAATCGAATGAAAGGCTAGTAAAGTGACTAGAATTACAGAAAGGGTAATCGATTTATTTTGGTTAGGCATCATGAATCACATGAAAAGGATGCATTTGTCAAGAAGAGGTTGAATTTCTTCATTCGGCCTTGACTTAACTCTGTCAGGTGAATTAAACCGACGTCAATAGTAGTTGTTTTTCTTAGTAATGGAGCTACCTTCTATTTGTCACGATTCTGTGTTAATGAAGGTTTATCTCTGAACAGTTTACTGATATTTGTAGAGCTTTATACAACATTATGTACCCTGTTCTCCGCAGACTCTTATAGCTTGCTCCACGATTGCTTACAGGTTCTCATATTCCTCTCACACTATGTTCTCTATATAATTCTCAGAGGCCCGCTCAGTTGTTTCTCATTCGAGTTCCACTCAAGGGCATGCATGGTGTATGATGTCACTGAACGGTCTCCTCAGCTTGCATCCAATCCATAACCATCTTCCTTTGCATATTTATTGGGCAATAGGTTCTTCATTGCCTCATTTTCAGAGTGTCCCGTTGCTAATCCTTTCTGGCCATCTGATCTTCGGTGTCGAGTGAACTGGGTAACTGTCAATGAAACTCTGCAGTAACCTGCTGGAAATGGTTTTGGTGACGCGTGAAGCCTCTGAACAACACAGAAGCACTGACTTGACTTTAGTATCGAAAAACGGAGAGCTGTTCCTTATGCTGAGTGCAGCAGATTTCCACACTGATCCTGGATTAATGAAGGCCTATCAAGCTTTTTGGACTTTGTGTTTGACGTCCTATAGTTAAAAGGATGCTGAATAGATAATTCAAACAGATGAATTCCTTCAAATAATTCCCTATTCTTTTGAGAATTACTTCTATGTGTTCTAATTAAAATAATACACATTTTATCAAGATAGCCTAGCCGACTGAATTCACTAATAACCCGAATATGTAGTGTAGCGTTTCATAGCATAGTAGGCTTTATTTGACAAGGTAAGCGTAAAATTTAATGTGTCTCAGCAACAACTGAAGAAAAACTGTTGAAGCTTGAGACTCAGGCATGTGTCAAGGATAAATTTTCACATATCTTAAATTATTATTATTATAGCTGCATAAACTGACTTATCGTATCAATAAATTTACATAAATCGTTGTTTTCTGATTAAATAAGCATTCTCTTCTTATTTCTTACACCTATCTGTATTTAGATGACAGCAAGAAAACTGATCCACAAATAAACTCATCAATGTGTTCTGTTGAAAAGTTACGGGCACAATTATTACAAGCGCTTCAAGCCTTACAAAAAGAGCATAATGCATATGAAGAATTAGAAGCAGCTAGAGATGCATGCGAAGCGCGTATAAGAGAAATGAATTTACAGAATATGAATCTTTTATCAAATACGTGCGATGAACAAAAGTCAAATAATTCAGTCATTACAAACGAAATCGCTATGAATATGGAACTACGTAATCAAATTGAGAGACTAAAGTAAGGTTGAAATGAATGATAATAATGTCGTTTTACTACTAATTTTGCTTCTTTTTCCGAGGAAAATAGGGACGCGAAAGCTTTTAGTCTAAAAAGTATTTTAGACGAATTTAGATGCTGCATACTACTTCGAACTATCTTTGACAATCTCTTGAAATCAGAAAGTAAACACAGCACAGAGAAGTAAAAATGGTAATCGCGGATATCCCATGACAATGCTATTGTTCATTTGTCGTTAAATGATAACTCGGCCTTTGGATTATAACCGTATCTACGCAGTAAGAATTTTAAACTGTGGTGCATATATTTTCTCGTCTCATCAAGGTCACAAAATCGTAAAAAGCTTTTCTATTTACGAGACCCTGTATAGCACCTTCACAACAAAGAAGTGTAGTTCTTATTTGACTAAAGGAAAATTATCGTGAAAACACTTGCCTTTTATTTTCACTTTCATGGTTTGACTTAGAGTATAAAATCTCGTTTCCTGATTAGGTATCGGTATATTTCACTCCTGTGATTAATTATATGGGTATTATAGAAGCTGGTGAGCTACCTTGGTAAAATTCATTTGACTTTTGAGACTCATTAGTTGACCGAGTTATTTGGTTTGGTAGAAATTAATTTAAACTGGTCCAAACATTGTACTTCGTTGTCTTTTATTACTTTTTTCACATTTTCTCATTCTGTATTATGTTGTTTGTATGTGTTTTATAATTTCTAAATTTTATATTGGTATATTTTGGGATTTTGGATTATCTAAACCTAGTCCCCAACAAATAATAAGAAGTTAGTTAAACTGTTTCTATCCATCCTACCACGATTCAGTGTATCTCATTATTAAGAATCCTAATACTTCGTTTAGGTTGTAATCAACCAAAGTTATGATGTACAATCACAACTAAACTAAAATATAAGTAAATTTTATCTCAAAGTCCGATACTCATATGACGGTTCTATTTGTTTAAAACAAAAGGCCAGATCACCAAGTCAGATTGGTGGAAAATACCCATCAGTACACCAGAGGGAAAAGAAGTTCAGTAAAGATATTTTTTGGTGATTTCATTCTCAAACCTATACAATCGCAAATTTTATACATAAATTAGCATCGTCACAATTATTAATTAATTCAACATAATAATGAAGGTGAGATTAAAGCCGTTAATAATTTTCAAATTGGTCTGAAAGTTCGCAGTTGTGATGACAGGTGAATAAAAACCACAGGTGGCATAGAAACCAAAGTAATACGAGATTAGGAAAATAGTTAAGTAATGTACGAATGTTCGTGAACGAAAAGAATCAGTGACGTTTCTTGTGTGGCAGTGAAGAGTTTTCGAGTTGAAATATGGCTGAAGTCTACGGACTAGTTTCGAAAACCATTCCGGATAAATGCGATTCCTAATACAGTCTTCCAGAAAGTTAACATTTTTACTCCCTCCTGCAGCAACCTAAGAGTGACACTCTTTAGACGCCTACTTATTTTAAGCAATTTGAAAGAAAATCTATCACGTATGATCATCTCCGTGTGCGTGTATCAGTTTACCTGCTCCTACAAAGCTAAATATATAGGTAATTCTCTTCACTTCCTTTCAAAATATGTTTGCGAATATCCTCCAGAAGGGTTGCGAAGAAACAGTACTCATTATTGTGCCTTTATCTTACCTTCCTTATCATTTTGAGTAAATTAATAATTGTAAATATGCTAACCTACTGTAGTGATTTGGAGAATGAAATCATCGAGGATATATCTTTGCTGAACTTGTTGTTTTCTCCAGCAACTGGCTTTTCATAATACAAATCTTTTACCTGTTTGGATTTTTTTATGGAAAACAGACCATTATATTTCTTGAGAAGTTAATGTCTAGTTGTCATACAGCTTGAGCTTTTGCAAAATCAACTGAAGTGACAATCTGATAAAATCTGAAATTAAAGACAGGTTTGGTTTTCAGGTGGGAATATTACAAGCATTTCTGTATCAGTTTCTCTGACGGATCTTTAGCGTATGTAATAAGGTTGTCTTGCATATTCTTTCTTTCGATAATATTAATGCCACCAAGGTTTTATTTCAAAATTGTCTGGAAACTGCGTTTCTAATATGTGGTCGCATGTTGGATTTTATTAAGCAGTCGACTAGTACGTGTTTGCAGTTAAGGCGTTTTACCTAAATGAAGAAGCTGTTAATTTGGTATTATTAAGGATGAAAAAGAATTTATGATTTATTCACTTACTTATCAGATTACTATTTTAATTACTTCATGAAAATTGAAATTCATTTTACACCAGTATTATTACGTAACCCGCCTTTTTATTACATTACTTACCATTTCAGGTTTGAATTAACCATGAAACAAGAAAAAAGTGAACATTTAGAAAGGGAATTGAAAAATATGAATGAATGTTATTCTAAGCTAAATGAGAACATGATCAAGTAAGTTTAAGAGCCAAGAATTTGTGATTATTGTCAAGATAGGTTTTCAGAATGCTACTGAACTACTTGAGCACATAAGATTAGATAGATCTTACATGATGCTGACATTAGGGCGTCGTCAAAGCGTGGGCTGAACTGAAATAGTGTTATGTAAACGCGAAATCCAGAGGACGACTGCCTGAGAACGACCACATACGGCCTGTTTGAGGCGGTTTCGGTTGTTTCTGTATAAAGACTTTACTGCTCGCTATGAACCACCACTGTTCAAGTCGGAATGTACAATTTTCTTTGGGAGGGGGATGAATTCTTCACCACTCTTCTCTTGCAGCGTAACTGGCTTCCTGATCATCCGAAGGGAATACCTTACTTCTGCTACATCATTATTTGTCAGCAGCACAACTTATCCCAGAAGTGGTTATAGACGACTAGCAGAATGGTGGTGACTGATTTTAGTGTAACTATTATCCAGGCAAACCTTTCGGCGTGGTGAGATCTTCAGTAGCATTGCAGCCAATGTATCTCGTCAAACCACTGTGATATTCAAATTCGACCAGCATGTCTAGTTTCAAGCTATTGGTGGTGATCGTTGAAGTGTCCATACTAGGAGTCATCGTTTGAACAGAAACTGAGCACCTTAGTTAAGTTAAAGTAGGCAACAAGAAATTCAAAACAAGTTGAGAAAATTGTAGAGAGAAATGAACTTAAATTTTAACACATCTATATCAATATGCTTGAAAAGCCTAGCTATAAGTGGAACACTATTGGTTACCTCAACTTATAAGCAAACTAAATAATAAGATGATCACTATGCTTTTTTGGATGACAAAATATAAATGTGTTTTTGAATGTTGAGGCATTTTCCAGTGATACTCTGACTTTCCTGCGTATAATTATAGCAATTGGAATATTTAATTGCTGGTGGCACTAAAAGAATTCCATGAGGTTTTAAAGTTTAAATTTAGGTTTGTGTGAGCGAAGGTATCTTTCTAACTTGCCTTAAATAAGGTGTGGTTATGGCTAATTACACTTGTATTATTCATTTAAAAATAAACAGCGTGAAAAGTTTTTGAATGATGCATATATCAAGAATGCGTTTGCTGAATGAATGCATGAAATTGTATTTGTTAATCGAATTATGTTAGATGTTTTTCTCGTCGCATGATATGCCTGATGCTTGTTAAGAGTTTAAATAATATACTTCGTATAGAGTGTTAATTGCACACAGTCCAGCGTAAATCTTACTGTCTCATATGTGAAAAACACACTTCAAAAGAAGTGAGAAAACACAAAGGTAATAGGCCAAAATATATTCAGTGTATTTATATAGATCTTATAGGATAAACATGCTGTTTTAGTACAAAGTGGCAGGTAATCGGTCTCATCCTTTATTCAAACAACTTTTCTAAGGTTTTTTTCATTAAAATTACTCATAATTTTACGCATACTTCCATTGGACATTTCCATAATATTCGCTTAGTTCATATGCTACAAGTACTACTTTGAAAATTCCATTTTCTTCATTTGATTCATAAGACAAAATAAGGATGCTCTGTTTGCTTAGGCTGCTTTAACTTCTTCCTTTGACAATTTAAAAAGTAAAAATCCCCATCTGTTTCGCTGCTTTGGAATGACTTGCTCAATGATTAATGATTTTTAAAAGCCAATAAGCAAATGTTAGTCGATTTTTAAATGAAGCGCTTTGTTACTTCTGCTGATTGCATTGTTATTTACATATTTTCGATGAAAGTTTTCAAAACTAAATTGGTTTTATATAAAACATTTCACTATATTTTGTTATCACTAAATATCTACTCTCAGAACGGAGAATGAAAAAGATGATCTTGAGAGTCAAGTTAGCCAACTAATGCGACGTTTAGAAATATTGCAGTCGGATAATATGAAGGTAAGACTGTATATACACAAAATAAAACAAATTAAAAGTAACTTTAGCCTAGATTTTCAATTGTTTTATCTTTTAAAATTAGTCATAAATAAGCCGAAAGTGATACATGATTTATTTTTCACTCTTTCGTAGAGATTATAAAAATTACTTATAACTGAAATGCAGGAAATTAAAACCTGTTAAAATTCTTCGTTTATCTGTTGTGTTTTGCTGAAGGATTAAAGATATCTAAAATACACTGTAATGCCCATCCTCTTCATCACCTTCAATTAATTATACGAATATTCCGGCATACTGTTCTTTCGCAATATTTTCTTGTGTCATCACATGTGACTTACATAGGAAAGAAAGCTGTCAAAAAATATATATGTAAAGATGGTGCTAAAAAGCTGCAGATTTCAAGTTGTTATAAAACCTAGTTAAATGATGAATGAAGATTATCACATGCGACTAAAGAAACAGCAGCAAACTGTTTTTCATTCGTTATTTAATTCAATTTTTCATTTGATCTGTGTAACCTTTAAGCATGTGAGTAAAATTATGATTACTTAGGTTTTCTGTTTTGAAAACAAACGCATCGGCTCAAGCTATACACACTAGAAAATTATAGATTGAAATTTTTAGTTGTGTGTTGATTGAACAGAAAAAAAATGAAGAATTCGGGATCAACACCTGACTACATGATTTGATTTACTACAATTTTGCTGAACAGAAATTTGTGAGTAGTTTTAAAGTTATCCCCTTGTGAAGACCATTATTTGATGGTGACTAGCAGTGGAATCCAGGATGCTCATTTCTTCCTATTTGAGACTCGTCAACTAGAGGTACCTGCATTCCCCAGTGAGTGATGGTGTTCCCACTGAGGCTGGGACCCAGCGCCCATAGTCTCAGACAGAACCCTTCGGTCCATCAATCGACAGAAAAATCTAAGTTGGATTAAATAATTACAAGTACCTTTCGCCTATATAAAACTTTTTAGACGGTATTTTACTGGAATCTACTTCTTCAAATCAACTTTAGAATATGATGTACTCATTTAGCTTCTATATTGTTTTTATTACCACAGATAAATGAAGTCAATACAAGGCTGAAAGCAGATGTAGCAGAGTACAGTAATGCTCAAGAAAGATTCAAAAAAATGAAGGTAATGCATGCAGTCATTCGAATTTAATTCTTCAGCTGTGTGCTTTTTGATACTCAGATCAACGTAACTATCCCTATGTACTGAAAAGTTGCAATTAAATATTACTAAAAATTAGTACCTAAACATTTAGAGAACAAGAAATTGAAGGAATCAGTATATCACTTTTAAATTAGATCTCACTTACTGTTTCGCATTAATTTATGATTTTGTTAAAGAAAGCATGAAATTTGTACTGATTAAATGGTGATATATTAGTTAGCAAGAAAGCATCAATTTTCAGGTGAAAAGCAGCCGCGGAAATCAAAATAACATTTAAACGACAAAACGATTTTAGTTATATAGTGAGTAAGAAAATCTCCGAAAACGATTAATCACCTTCACGGACACCTGGATAGACGATTAACTAACTCACGGAGAATTCTGGAAGCTGATATCATATTGCAGTCTGAGCTCAAGATATTGTTCAGAAAGACAATGATAACGTCTCAATTAAAGCATCCAGCTCAGAAAACACAACACCAACGTATTCAGTCAATATACAGAAGTTAGTTATGTAGTCGATAGTTTTTAAAAGCGGGATGATCAAGAAGAATACGGGGATACATTTGTCGAGCTGTAAATAACTTGTAGTTACGTAAAAAAAGATTGAGGGAGGGGGTAAGCAGATTATCACTAATACCCATGTAAAACTTGGGCACTGTAGTAGTACATCTTCCCATATTAACGTGTTTACTAGATATATCACACTGCAACACTATTATTTCCTAGATGGTGAAGTTTCGAAGAAAATTTATTGCTCATAATCATATCATTTTAACCAAACAACTTCGAGACCTGATTTTTCCTTCACATTTGTTGTAAGGGTAGTAAAATCTTGGTACTTTCAACTTTCTGTATATGCTTGTCATTATTGTTGTCCTTATTGTCAGCCAACTGACAATATTATTGATATTATATGGTGGAAGGGAATTGGCAGGAAGCCCTAGACCTAGGTTTCATGCTAACTAACACTAATAAAATCTAATATAATGGGGTATAAGGAGAGACTGAATACTGCAACGCATGCATTGGGAATGATTCAACATTCGTCTCGAGCATCTGAAAAACTTTATTACTTTTAAGACAAATGACAAGGAAGAGAGAAAAAATATAAAAATCAAGTTTCAGAGTTGTGCATTTGGAATTGATATGATTATGAACAATAAATTGTGTTCAAACTTTCGTCATCCAGTAGGTAATACTGATTTGTACCATTTCAATGTAAATAATGGTCGTTTATCAGTAGGAATTATTAACAAGGTTGTAAAACTGAAGGCGAAAAGAAGCATTTCATATTTTAAAAGAGTTTATCAACATAGAAACACATTCAAGCAGAATTTTGTATGAAGTAATCCACCACACATTCAATTTCAAGTAAAACTAATCCTTATGAAAATTTTACTAAGGATTGATATCAGTTAGAGAATCACTGATAACAATCCGTGGTCAAACTTGAAACGAATCAAATCCCTGAAAGCTATTTCCTGAAGGTTTATATAAATGTCCACCTATATTTGCAAATGATGCGCCTCAACAAACTCGTGTAGACTGAAGTTCGCTGTTAGATATACAACATAACTGTCACAAATTTATTACACTCAACACTTGCATATTTTTTCGTTTCCTGTTATTCGCGCTGCATGTAATTAGAACATACTTGTGCTCCTTCAGTACTCAAGTTATTTTATTACACAGTAGCTTTGAAGTCCATCTCCATCAACTACACTTCTCATGGATATGAAGTATCCAGCTGATATTAAATATTAAGTTGATTTGTACTGCCATTTCATTATGGTGCATTTTGTCCCCTATGTAATAAATTTCTACACTGAATGTCTTATGAAGTGTATTAGATATGATAAACATATTAAATTTTATATTTACAATCAATATTGTTGCTTTTATTATTTTCCAGGACAACTTGTTCCACCATCGACGTTTACTAGAAACACAACAAGCTACACTGAATAACGGACTAAAACATGTACGACTAAGAGTTGATGACATCAAAACTGTGATCGGTGATATGAAACAATGGTGCAAGTTGAATTCGAGTGATGCTAATGATGAAACTAAAGTAAGCAAACTTCGTTATCCAAATAGCTTATAAACTGCTTAATGCATGGAATCAAATAGTGATAATAAAACGTTTGTATAGGCTCCTATTAAATACAGAATAAGAAATAACAGATGACTGAGTAGTAAAAATTATACATATTGACTAAATATTATCTGAAGATTTTTTCGAAGTCGTATACCAAGTGATTTACACAATCTATTATAGTTAAATTTTGATTCCTAATATTTTAAGCTAACTGAATTCAGTGTAACAGTGAAGTTTTCTGATGTCTTCAGTATCAATGGTTACAGATTCATTCCAACTAACGTTCAGTGTTGGATTTTTGATGCAGGTGGAATAAAATTTCTTCAGTCAATTTTATGATTGATGGTATTATTTTTTACGAAATGTTTGAAGCTATACTAAATCGTCAATCTATTTTATAATGAACACTGAGTTACTCGTCGTTGAAACCACAGGTACTGCAAATGTGTTCTAAGCAGTCAAATTAACTGATATAAAAAATATTACCAACAGCTTTGAAGACTTCAGTAGGTGATTTATGAAGGGAACCCAATAGCTGGTGAGCAGTTAGTAACATAACGAGAAATGTTTTAATTTGCAATTAGTAGTGTTCTCTGAGCTGGTTGGTTTAGTTGCGGAGCTTTCATCGTCCTTCTGGACAACATCTTCAGCGCAATTTTTAGCATAAAGTGAACAGATTTAAATTTTTCATCTTTACATGTGTATTGATCATTTTTATTGACTTGGAATGATTTACTCTTTATTAGTTGGTATATTTGGTTTATTTTAACATGTTCTTTAATTGCATATTCGTTTGAGTACCAGGCTCCCAGGAATTCCCTGGCACTTTTGGTGTTTCCTCTGTCTAAAATTTTGACATTATCCCAATCAAACTGATGTCCATAATTATCTATATGCATTGATATGAAAGAATATATATCATGTCTTTTCACAGCTGATTTGTGTTCCTGGATTCTGATTCGAAGGGGACGCCCACTTTGGCTGATGTAATGTCTGTTACAGTTCATACAATTTATTTTGTAAATGGTATTAATTTTATCCCCTTTTTCTGTTGGATCTTTCGGTTTGCACAATATCGAATTAAGTGATTTGACTGGCTTGTATGCTATATCTATTTCAAACGGTTTTAATATTCTAGCTGTTATTTCGGAGATATTTTTTATATATGGTAGGATGTATTTTCTTGTGTTTTTTGATGATGGTTCCTTGTTGGTGTTGTGATTCGATTTTATACACTTTTTGATGAAATTTTGTGGATATCCACTCTTTTTGAAGACCTTTAGTAGGTATTATTCTTCCATTCTCTTCAAAACTAGAGTGCCACAGTGTGTTTGAATTCTTTTAAACAATGTTTGCACACAGTTTCTTTTGTGAGTAATTGGGATATTACTGCTATTATAGTTGAGTATTTGATCTGTGTGCGTTGATTTTCTATATACTTGTGTTTCTAAGTTTCCAGTGTTAGTTCTCCTGATTAAGACATCTAAAAATGGGATTTTGTTATCTAATTCTTCATCTCTTGTGAATCTGATGTGTTCAAATATGTTGTTTATTAATTTATGGGTATATTCTAATACATATATTCATGAAAAAATTAAAATCAGTTCACTTTATGCTAAAAGTTGCGCTGAAGATTTTGTCCAGAAGGATGACGAAAGCTCCGCAACTAAACCAACCAGCTCAGAGAACACTACTAATTGCAAATCATCCACCTGAGCTGCAAATCTCTATTATTTCAATGTTTTAATGTGTTGCATCAGTTAAGTGAGGAGGATAAAAGAGGTAAAATTTGAGGAGTCGTTGATTTCAGATTTGATAACATGAATTTCTTAGGGTAGATGCAACAGCGTAGGATTTCTGCAAAACTGAGCAATAGATTATATGATGCAAGTCTAAAGACTATGAAAGATAGAAACAGCAAAAACGTCATATTGACTGCTGATTTAGAATTCATGGGACGACGATGATTAATTTTTTAATAATAATAACCATAGCTTAATTATGCACAAAAAGTTTACACAATATGCACAATTTTCAGTGTAATTTATCTCATAATACTTACTCTTCATCCAGTAGTGTCAAGTAAAACAGTCATCTCCAGCACATCAAGTGACGCAGTGATGTTAGATCTGAATAATAAAATAATCCACTACGGTATGTTTCTTTGGTCCCACAGAAATGCTCAACGATAGGCTGCAAACTAGTTAAAAGTGTGCACCCAGGGATATAACTGAATGATTATAACAATAAGAACTAAAGAAAGCAAGATGCATTTTCTCGGATGGAAATTTGGGTAGCCCGAGATATTCAAGCAGGCCGCCAAAGATTAGAAGTATTAGTACTGTTAATTAGAGACATCCGCCTGGTTCTAACTGTATCACAGACTTTTCATATACCGTCCACATGCTTAGATAAACCTAGTTATATGGACAGATGTTTCAGATTCCATGACTTTTTATTCGAATCTATTGAGTTTCATGTCTACTTATGACGTCTTTAGTCTTTGTTCCCCTGATACAGATTCCTTTGAAATAAGTGCATGATGACTATGATAAAATCAAATGTTCGAAATAATTAAACACATTTTTAGCTCAGGTTGACTATATAAATTATTTGGTTTTATCTGTACTCTCATATTTATATGTGAGCGTTTAACTGTCTGTAACGATAACGTCTTCACAACTTATCATTGAAGTTAGTCCAGTCTCATAGAGAACATCACTACCCTGTGAGATTGAATAAGAAACAAGTAAAAAAAAGCAAGCCCGGGATTCTACCACCAATCAGTATCAGGCTTGGTAGTTTATCTAATGGCTTCCATGAAATCAGTGAAGTTAATTTATGGTAACCTTTCCATTTTTCACCACCTTTCAAATTAAATAACTTTTATTGCAATTTGAATGACAGGCTTTGTGCTTAAAATGTGACAGTTTTCAAATGTAACTCAATAGAAGCATAAATTTGATCATCAGATATCATGTAGAATGGAAATTTTGTTTAATGTGTAAGAGGGATAATGTGAGATGTTTTCATGGACCTAACATGATGTCATCTAGGTTTCTGATACTTTCTATAGGCATCAAAATTGAATTATATGTGAAAGGAAAAGTCAATTTATGTAACTGAGACTTAAGTAAATTTCTTTTTGTCGTCGCATAACAAAATGAAGAATCTAGGACAAAGCAGTTAAGTTACAAATACGTCACCACTAGTTTAAAACTTTTTCATCATCTGTAGTCTGAAAATTTAGATAGTGATACTGACTTCCATTATATTAGCAGTGGTGTATGGGGTGTAATTCTGTGTTGTATGTTGATAGTGTTTATCTTTCTATCTGCCGTATTAGGTCAAATCTACTTATCTTATTGCCCTCTTAGTTTTCATCATTGCCTAGCGATTTAAGTTATTAGGCAAATATACCAGTTTCAGCTGCTCCTGAGATAACTAATCGGCATTAAGAAGGAAAACGACGTGCTGCCTTACCACGGTGTTGTACTTTATTTAATTTTCTGTTTATCATTGGAAGAATTTCGCAAAGATACTGTCAGCAGAATGTGGGGAAACTGTCTTTAAATCGATCTGTTTCCTGGTTACCTAGTAATTCATAATGCATATAAAGACAAACGATATTATATATATATATTTCATTTTTTAGAAAAGTCTTATGAAGTAGAAATGAAGTTTGTCAAGAGTCGAGAGAGATTAGAAGTCTAATCAATAAAATGTACCTATAAGCATCTATCCTGCGTGTTACAGAAACCATCTTGTCTGTAACAACTGATAAGCAGTTAAATAATATGTGATTAATTAACAACAAATATAAATCTGACATGTGTGTTTATTGAAATGGGTTAGTCTGTATAGTAAATGACTGAGGTTATACACTACAGTAGAGTCTGAACCTATAACAAAACGAATTCCCAGTGATAAACGCCCGGATTTCACTGGCTATTTATGTAACGGTTCTTAATGAATTATTTATTTTTAGAAGTTGAATACAGACAAAATTAGAAGGAAATCTCTTCCTTCGGTCCTAACAACCAGAAATCTTAGTTGCCATGGTACCCATTTGTATTCTGAAAAAACAGGCGTATAAGGAAATACACCTTTGTATTTCTTTTCTATACACCACAGAAAAACTCTTTTTCAGTTAATAAACTACTTTGTCGTCCACATTTTAAAGGAAAACAGCATCGTAATTAAGTTTGTACAGTTTGCCATACCTGATTTTCCTTCTTAGTTTCCTCACTCAGATTTTGTCGAAATAATCAGATCCCAATTACAATCACTTTCAGATTGGTGGAAGAACAGCAGTATTACATTTTTCCTTAATAATCTGACCTGTGCATGCATTTTAGTATTCCAGGCAATGCAGGCAATCTAGCAATTTTTCGTTTAATTACAGGATTTTTGCATACTGAGTTTGTTAATATTACTAACTGTAAATAAGTCACCTATTAAAATGTCTCGTTAAAACAATCCTACTTCAGTTTCCTTGGTGCTTAGTTGATTAGTAATAGGAAAATGTGGCACTAGGAGTTTTTCTTGACAAAGATTAAAATGTTAAGTCCAGAATGTTGGTTAAAATTTTTTCTCTCTTTCAGATACTTAAACATATTTGCAATCTTTTAGAATCCAATTTACGTTCAGCACTATAATTAGTCAAATTAGTGAAGAGCATAACTGTACTGTTTAAAAGACCACGATATTCTGTACTTTGTATTGTGTGTGACTTGACATTTGAGTCGTTAATAACACCGTTTTTAATTCATCAGTGCACTTACTTGCCTTATAACTAAGCGTAAGATGAAAATCTGGGTCGCATTAGGATTCACACTAGCAACCCAAAAATGATTAGTCTGGTGCTCTATTAGCTGAGCTGTGAGGTCCAAGTACTCATCGAGTTACCATTTCACTGTAGTCATTACGAGTAATGTCTAGCTGCCAAGTAAATGAATGATTCTCAAGACTGTCTTAAATAGCCTCACCACCAATGACTTGATAATTAGATTATCGAATTTTCAAACTTGATTAACACTGACAATTTGAGACGTGCATGTTGATGACATATTGAGTTTGTAATGATTGCTGCAATCTTTTCAGCTAATTTAAAGGAAACTGGGCATGACCTTAAAATGAGACATCATTTAAATCCAACTCTGAGCAACAGTCACTTTAAAACGGTGATAATTAGTAGACAAGGAAACTTGATCTGTTTGAGTTAATCTGAATTTCTCCTTGGCCGATTACCATAAGATCAAGATGCTAGAACTCTATTAACATGTCAGCTCCTAGCACAGACACTTTAACGATGTCTATTGATTGACATGATGCCACTTAGTTAACGATGGCTAGCGAGGGAAACCATGTTGCACAATCCTTTCTATTTGGAACTCAATATCTGGATTTACCTGCATCAGCAGAGAGTGATGATGACCTTACTTAGAATAAAACATTATAAAAGATGGAGCATTCCATTCAAATTAACTTAAACAGATAACAGCTGATACCCTTTGCACAAGAGGTAGATTTCTTGTTCCAGTGGCTTAGTGAAAACGGTCCTGGGTTCAATTTTCAGTGTGAATATCCAGATAATAGGCTCAAAATAGGAAGGAATGCGAAACCTAGTTTCTGCTGCAAGTCACCATCGACCAAATGACAACGAGTAAATAAATATTGGTACCTTTTTCATTATAATTTACTGGATTCTTCTATGTTTACGAAGAATAAGTACCTGAAATGATCGTTGGAATTTTTAATCCATTATCTAATTGAATATTATTAGTAATAACTAGGTATCAAAGTTGTATGTTGTTCGTTAATTGTTCTTGACCATTGAAAAACAAATAATATATAGAATGTTAGGATCAAGTTATAGATATCGTATGGCTTTATTTTGAGTTGATTGTTCCCTGAATACCTTTACAAAATTGTAGGACTGATGAGTGTCAACAACGTTTAAATCTGTCAAATGACTCTTTAGGTAGGGAAGGAATATCTTCAAAATGCACAGGTTATTGGACACATTAGGATATACTAAATATACACCAACTAATATACAATAATTATATTCCATCAAATTGATTAAGTTGTATTTTACATTTATAATACTGTCATGTTATGATATTGTCTTCATTTTAGAATAATCCGGTAAAATGTGATGCATCACAAATGGTTAATGCAACTGTTGATTATACTGAAAAAAATGAAATCTTACAGCAAACTCTTGATAAGAAATTACAAGAAATTGATTATTTGACAGATGTTCATCAGAAGCTCACAGCGTGTTATGATACTGTGCATAAAAAGTAAGCACATTTATATACATGTTTATATTTATGTGGATCACTAAAGAATTATTATGGAATTTGTAATTTGTATTTGTATTCTCCTACTTTTTGAAGCATTTACTAAAACCTGTGCATTACAATCTTCTCTTCTACTATTTCATTCAGGCTGTATAATTTAATTCACATTTTGCAATTTGTAAGATATTCAGTTGAAAGAGAAAATTCACTACACTCATCTTTAGTACCCGAAAATACTCGGATCTCAAATGTGATCTTCTTGATACCATAAATGGAAGTAAAGAAAATAAGTCTAATAGCGTAAAGCCACATACTAATGATTGAAATGTGTAGCTGGAAACCACTCACATCGACTAGTAGTGCTTGCCAGCCAGGACGAAGTGAACCGAACCTCAGATGGCCGTTCCGTTCGTTTGGGTCTGTGCTCACCAGAGGTGAGCTAGGTTTGACTTAGCTTTAAGAGGCAAATTAGTTCAAATCACCCAAATACAGAGCTGACTCATAGCGGATATACCACTGGTGACTTAATTCTCAAGATAGTGAAACTGCCATCAAGTGTTAAGACCATTTCAATAGGGTTAGCAAAAACCACTGGTTGACATGTGTGGTCTCCAACTATCTACATGAATCCATAGTATGTAAAGACAAGCAGTTTTCCTTACTTTTTAGACTGCTATCTATGGCACCAAAATGATCTGAAATTCATTTGTGAGTTAATTAACATTGATTAATTAATTAACATATAAACCTTGTGGGTGGGTATATTTATTCAAATTTCGAACTACAGAATGAGCCAAGAGAACGAGTAATTTTGGTTAGTGAACTCAAATGAGAAGACGGTGTGACAGCATAGACAACGGTATTTACAGGGAAAAGCACACGATGATCTCATCTCATATTGATTACAAACTGACTGTTGGAAATAACAACGCTGAACTTTTCATAACAGTGCCTCAGTTCATTTTGTCAGCAAAATTAGGAGCGGTAGTTAAATGCAGAAGTAGTTCTATTCAGCAGTTTAGGAACTTGATATGCATACGAGCAATAAATTGTAGTGAAAACCTACTCAGTAAATATTTCTGTATTAATAGATTAATCAAATTAGTGTTTTATTACTTTTTCAATATGTAACTATCTAAGCTAAAACACCTTACACTGAGGCATAAAATGTACTGATAATAATTAATATTGCTGTTATTGTTTCCACTTTATTCTATTGTAAATTAGGCTGGAGAAATATTTATACAATGAGCGTCTGATTTACAACAATTTGACGAAACTATCACAGAATTACGATATTAACGTTAATAATAGCAACAATGGAACTGTCTCGGATGTACTAGTTCCTCCACCTATAACAAATTCTGTACTATATCAGTTAACAAGTTTACTACGAATAATGGGTGCTAATCAGGTGAGCTTTCGACGAAATACTCTTCTGAATATTTTTATCAAATGTTTAATAACGATATTTTCTATGACTTTTAATTAAGGATGAAAAGTATATATGTAGCTAGATTTTTCCGACAAATTCTGGTAGAAAGCTTACCTAATTCATATCTTAATGAGGCTGATATTTCTTCGTGCTACGATATATGAAATTAAGGTGAAAATAATACAGAAACCAAAACGAGGCAGTATACACCACACTATACGGCACAAACTAACAGCCAAAGACTATATAATGTGACGCCATATTTTGGTTTGACCATATCTAACTGATTTCTGACCTAATTCTATATGAACAAGCATTACTCTGCGAGGAAGACTATGACACAGCATGCGTAATATGTGTCTCAACTATCTCAGTCAATGGAGTTCCACGACCTCCTTGGTTGACTTTATGTTCTTATCTAACGCTCCAGGCCTAAACTTATTGTTATCCAATATAATATACCACTTAATACGACAAATACAACACAGACGCTAATGGTCAAAGACGGCAAGCCTATTTTATGTTTTCCACCTTCAGCTGTCATATCTCACGGTCACAAACAAGGAGTGAACTGTTGATACAACTTCCTGGTCATTTTACTATCTACACTTATACTAGAAGTCAGTGCACACCAGCTCTCTAGCATCACCTTGAAAACAGTGTTATTAAGTAAACGTGAAGAATACTGTTGGTCTTTCTCACTAGTGACAATAACTCTGCATAAGTCCTTACATGACTGGATGTGTTCAAATATGCTGCATAAACTAGTGCAGTATTCTTTTTTGACAAACATTTCACAACCCCACTTACAACACTAACTCTTCTTCTACAAACTTAAATTCTATCTTCAGTCTAAAAAATATGTCTAGTTAAATACCTCTGTGTTTTTAAACGTGTTGAGAGGTGCATATTTCACTAATTTTTTCTTAATGGAACTACAGCTCAGCATTTTGCGTTTTGAAGCTAATTCGACAATTTCTGATGGAAAACAAGCTTCAGTTCATTTCAAACGGTGACAAGAGGTAGTGTTAAGGCGTCCATCAGTAACTCCAACAATACACGAACTGTTGTGTTAGGAGGATTCATTCGGGCACTGAGTTTTCGACTTTAGGGCTTATGCTATCCTTGCAGAGGATTGTTCGCAAGATCAAGTAACAGGATTTTATGACAGTAGTAGGGCTAATTTTTCAGATTGGTAGGTCATAACTTGTTGAATATCTTAATTTGAGTCTTACATAAGGGTCATAATGCTACTACATACATTCATCTTGAGTTGACAACTATGTTATCATTGTTAATAAAGATGGAATGGTTGCTTGTGGCCACTTCACATGTCCATTTTGTAGGTGATGGAATTTATGAAGTTTCATTCGTTGGAGAAATATTATTGTCAGTTACAGGTTACTGTATGATAATCCGAGATGTACAAGTTTCGGCACTGACCTTTTCTCTGATAAGCACCAAAGTAGAAGATCAGGCTTGTTACGCATCTGAGGTAGACACGTTTCTGCCTCCATACCCTTTTCGCTGTGAGTACTGCTTTGCTTTCAGATCCCAGCCATTGAGTCATCATTTTGCTGTATGTTGTTGACTGCTATGAGTTTGACCTTTGTCCTACCAACGTTTTTTAAAACTCAAACCCTATCGCATAATGTCTGTCCAAGTCGTGATTACTCAAATCAGAAACTTGAAAATGAAACAGTGTAATCTTAAAATTAAATAGGTATTAAAAACTTTAAAAAATATTTGAAATCAAAAACACCATTGAATGTGTTATTTGGACTAACTGCATAAATTCTCTTAAATTAAATTTATTTCTCCTTCTGCTCTAGGAATCAGCAAACGATTTAACCAGTCACCTAGACTCAATAAAATCACATGGCAAAATACCATCTACTGAGTCAGTTCAACAGAATCATATACAAGAAGTTACACTTGAAGAAATTACTTCATTAGCTGGTAAACTTGCATCAACTGAAAAGAGCCTTTATGAAATCCGTAAGGAGTATGAACAATGTGTAACTGAATTAAAACGAAGTGATGCCCAACTCAGCTCATCTGAACTTATTATTAATCAGCTGACAAATGAATTAAATCAATACAAGGTAATAATCATTAGGTGTAATTAAGTTTGCAGTAATTTTTTAGCAGAAAATAAATAAATGAATAGATAAAACAAATTTTTAAGGATGAAGTGAACTCAACATTATTCTCACAAACTTCATATTTGATGGACGTAAGTATAATTTAAAAGAAACTTGACAGATAAATATTAGTAAGGCTTAGTCTAGATGTTCTCACTTTTGATAATAAAGCATTATGATATAAATGCAGAATTTACGTTAATAATATTTATGCTGTTAAGTTTCATCATATTCTAAATACTTAACAAGAATTTATTAAGTTATTTGTAAAAGCAATCTAAAGTGTATGCTTATCTGTACTGGTGACTTAATTATGTCAACTGATCAGTAGACTGTACTCAGTAGTCTGTTTAACAAAACGCATTTAACTATTATGCTTAATAAACAATGAAATTATGTGTATGTTATGTATTAGGTTGACCGGATTATCGACTTACTGAATTCAGAATCCGTCACAAACATGCTTTCCCACGGAAGAATTTTGGTAATTCAATACAAGTTATCCAGTTACTCAGAATTCTTTATTTGAAATTATTCGTAATGGCAAAAAGATCTCACATATTCTCTTTTTGTCATTGAGTCTTTACTGGAGTTTATGTTAGATAACAATGTCATCAAATCTTCGTCAGTGAAGTCAGATTAAAGCTCATGATAGTAGATGTAGTTTGTGCACTAAAACAAATAACAGTAATGTATGAAAAGACATCTTGAAAAAGAGGATCTGACATTATTAGCTTTATAAGTTTTGCTTGAAATATATATTCGGTAATCAGGCGTTTCACTTATACAGCCACTTTTAGTGAATTGTGTTACAGAATCAGTAAGGAGTTTTCACGTAAATTCAGATCTGTGGACAGTGCTAATTGGTGAGTAGTAACTTATGACTATTCAGTATTGACTAGATACTCTGTTGAACAGGTGTATCGCTCAACCTTCGATAGACAGAACAAATATTTAATCTTTTGATTATTGTAATGTAGGTAATAGTGTGTATTTATTTTTGTTGTGTTCTACGAGATGGAAGATTTAACTTACAAGCTTTCATCGCCCATCTGTTTATGTATCACACACATATTCAGAAAATTATCTTCACTTATGTTTTTCATTATAACTTAGGAACTGAAGGAGACAAGAGAATCACAATTTAATCAGTCATCGACAAGTACTCAAACAGATTGTGCAGATAGTCAAGCGCTTCCTTCTATAAAGTTGGATGAACGTAATCCACTCATCAAAGAATTGTTATCTAGACTTGAACAAGCTGAACAAAAAGTTAGCCAATTAACCAATCTAAATGTCATGAATTCATTGAAATCTTCAGAAGAAAATGACAAATCTTTGCAGACGGATAATTATGAGATAAAGGTGACTAAAGTATTCAGGGCTTTGAAACACTTCTGTGCATATTTTATTGATGAATTTCATTTAATAGCCTGCTGTACTTTTTGTGTACTGAAATGAAAATAAGATGATTTGTGAATGGCTTAAAATCATAGGGCGGGAATAGTGACCTAAAATGAACACGTTAAAATGTATAGTTTACTTGTGGTTATTCGCTAGGAGCCATTTTGCCAATGCATTCTAATCAGCCATATAGAAATAGTTTGCATCAAAAATTGGAAGTGGAAAAATACCAGTCCGATAGACGTGGACGTATGCATAGGCATGCATTACTTCAAGCCTTCATACTTCATAAAAAAACAAAGAAAGGAATAGAAAAGAAATGTACAATAGTGATACAACAGTGGGTACACATAAACATGATGAAGAGGATAATTAGGCGAAGATTGGTGACGATACTTGGTTGACAGTAGCTAGCACATCTCTGTCTATTTGGGACTTGTCAGCTGGATGCACCTACATCTCCCATGACTATCTGTGTCCCAAATGAGAGTTGAACCAACCACCCATTGTTTCATAAGCCAAAAACATTCACTTCCAAGGATATTAAGTAAACACGTCAGCGACGGTTTTGATTTATGTCATCAACAGTCCTAATCTACTGCTTCTTAACTTCTAGAAGACTACCCTCAATAAATTTATGCCGTAACATTATTTAACAACGTTTTTTTACCTATACCTAATTTGCCTCACATTTCTTCACTGGACATGCGTAATTTATGTGACAAATCCATAAACTGATGGAAATTTAATAACTAGCTGAATGATTTACTCTTCTTACCTAAAAAACATTGTTTTTTACTTAAATTTCCCTTCAACTGTATTACCACAATATTCAACATCATTATAAATAATAATGAAACATAATTCAGTAAATTGTTAAGCGCATATTTTCAATCGATACACGAAGAAGATTGAAAACATTTTCAAATTTATTAGCTACTTCATTTCAATGTTATTTATCAAGAGTAACCTTCATCATAATTGTTTCAATTCACTTTATCTCAAAGTTTGAATCATTTCATTCTCTTTATCATTTGATTTCAGTCATTTGATAGTCATTAATTCTCAAACGTGATCATTAGTACAGTTTTTATCATAGTGGTACAAAGTGTATATGCATATTGGATAAATACTTAGCATCCTTTTGCATATGAATTTTACTGTTGATGTTTTTCAAGCAGAATATTTCTGTGTATGCATGATGGTTATTAGTTGATGCGAGTGAAATATTGAGTATAGATCATGAGAAGATGGAGAAGATTTTCATCTCAGCTGAATGAATTTGATGTTGCCATGCTCTCTCTGAACTGAATGATTTGTTTGTGAAACTTTCATTGTCTTCCTAGACAGCATCTTCAAGGTTCACCTCATCTTGAAGTTAGATCAAATAATCATGACTATTTGAATTTCAGCCAACAAGCATGAAATGAATACCAGTGAATAGAATAAATCGCCATAGACTCTCTTATTTTTGATGAAATAAAAAATGTTTACTGATATTTAAAACTCAAACTGTAAAAACAATTTAATATGCAAAAGCATAAGTTACGTTGGACACTTCATTCTTATAGAAAAAATCCCCATTTAGACATTTAGAAAACAGAAAGGTTGAGAGAAGAAATGTTTACTTTTCAGTTAGATCCTCATCTCTGGCTCTACTTTAATATATATAGCATTTTTATTACAATACACAACATTTTACCAATCAAGTGGCGATATGTTTGTTAACAATAATTAGTCAGTATCAACATGTCAATGGGGTGATAATTAACGAAGAAAATTAATACACACAATTAAAAGGTAGAAATGGTTACAACACGTGGATTGCATAGTGCATAATTTTGGGAAAATGAAGAGTAATTATGGAATAAGCGTGTGCACAGGTTGATTACGTAACAGATTGTTTAAGAAAATAAAACGATTTGGACAATGATAACTTGTAACTAAGGTTGAAGTGGTCATAAGAATAAAATAATTTTACAAGGATAACATGTAATTAAAGATGAAGTAGTCAGAAAAAATAATCAAATAATTTGGACAATTATAATTTTCATAATTTTTAAGGGCTTAGGGGGAGGGGGTCGAAGTAGTCCGGTTTATACATTCATGTAACGATGGTCAAGGTAAGGAAAGTGGCTGTACAAATTTCTTCTGAACACACAGGTTTGGCTTCTTCAGGTGGATTCCTATTGCTTCAGCTGTCTGTAGAAGACGAACTCGTAAAGCAAAATTAAGTTTAGTAGGAATGCGATAAATAATTTTAAATGCAGTATTAACGTCAACCTTATGCTCACTATCTACAAGGTGTGCTAAAATAGAGCTACGAATAGATCTTGTTTTTCCCTTGCTTAACCATGCTGGATGATGTTCGGAAATGCGATGATGAACCTTCCTAATTGTACGCCCGATATAGCTGGCTCCGCAGCTGCAGTCAAACTGGTAGACACACGTAGAGGAGGCAAATTTAGGTAGTTTATCCTTATTTCTCGAACGTGGAATAAGGGTGGTTGTGAAGAGACAATGTACCTCTGTTGTATAATAAGCTCTTTTAACTGCATTTTTCAGGCTCTGTGTTACTATTTCGTCTTCATTCATTCTTCATTCTTAGAAGATATCGCTAATGAAGAAATGAAATAGGACTTTAAAATTAACATTTTCATGTTTTGTTTATTCGTGTCACTTTTTTTAATAAGGACCACTGTAACAAACAGAATACAGTAAAAGTCACAAAGTCACTTGAAGTCAAGGCCAACACACCTAGAGAACTCAAAAATGACGATGAAGTAGAAAATGTCTCACCGCATTTCATTGATCAAATCAGTACACTACGTAAGCGTATTTCTGAATTAGAATCAGATCGAGAACGATTATGCAAAGAGAATGAACGTCTTAGTGATCGTACAGAGAAACAACGAAGATTTACTGAAAAGTTAACCAATCATCTTTGTCAGTCAACACTGACTCAACAAACGCAACAACCTCAGATAATTCCGCCACAACCACCGATTCAACAATTACCTACATTGGGTTATTCAATGTACACTCAGCCAACTATTCTTCTTCCACAACCAGTGTGTAATGTAACGCAGCATGGTTTGCAAAGGTTAGTTTTATTGTAGTAAAGTTCGAGTATCGTCATTTGGATGAAGTTTTCATTGTACCTATGTATTTCTTACATGACATGTGATATTTTCTGTTCTGTTTAAAGTCTAACTTCTGCTTCAAAGGTAGTTGCGTTGAAAACACGAACTCTACTGAATGCGGAAACTTAGTTTATTGGATAATTTACCAGTTATTCAAATATTTTGAGATTCATGGCAGGATGAAGAGGCTAACTGTTTTTCACTACAAGTCTCAGCGTTTTTCCTGTCGTCCTGCGTGGTGTAGTCTGGTCGGTAGACTGAAATTCAATTGATGAAATCGTGATATGTGTGGCGAATCTTGACGTTTCACCTTCCTAGTCGAGCAATACTGGCTGACATAGGATTAGACTGTGAAGGATTTAGGGGTTGTCAAACCTTAATATGATATAGATATAGACTGCCTAGCGAGGAACTTGCAGACGCAAAGAACCAATAACAGTAGACCGTCGGTGATATAGTTCTAAATCGATCTCAATGGTGCAGACGCACTTAATCTTCGTGGTCACCCAAATCCATTAAATTCTTCTGACTATACATGTAATTATTCTTTCTGTCGTTCATTTACATTCATTATAGTTCCTTTGTATTTCTTTTCACCACCACTGCGTGTACTTTATGAAGTGTGGCAAGCTGAACTGGTTTTTTAGTGCGAAACTTCTACGTTGAATATTTAGTTCATACGTGATCCCTTATTTAGTACAAAATTAATTTTTCTATAAAATGACGAAATTATAATTAAGGGAATCTTATATTTTATAGGTCATTCAGCTACTGTAAACAGTCAGTCAATACAAATTCTACTTTAAAGAAGCAACGTTATGTTTTGCTGAAAACGAGACAGAAAGAAGTTTAGGTCGCGACACTGAAGGCGTACCTGATGTGGACACATCTCTGAACCAAACAGTGTTCTGCGTTAAAGAACCTTCTTCAAAAGAGAAACAGTGTTAGAATTCCCTTCCTTTTTATATTGGTTTCTCAAGTAGCGTAGGTTTGTGTCAGTTTTCACAAACCAAGAGCCTACATTTCTTTCACTATTACCATTTTTGACAAGGTTGGCTGCTCTATGGTGTAATTGTTTCCACAACCTTTCAAATGAATATGATAGGCGGTGGAAAGTGTAAAGTACCCTTAGATTTTAATTATATCCAGGATGTCACTTCGTGAAAATTAAATTTGAATGGAAACGATACTTTTCACAACAAAATCTATCAGATTAAGTTTGTCAGTGATTTAACTTCTCTCAGTATAACACTGAGATGATAATGTTGGAGGTGGAGAATTCAAAGGATTCCGAAATTATTCGACAGTTATTTACACATACACTGTCGTCACATTATTTGAAGCTAATATTCCTTTGTTAAGCGTGATTTGTACGAGAATTTCATTTCCCTTATTAGTTTGTGATGTTGGTATATGCCGTATATTAAGTAAATGAAATGTAAAACGTTCACTGTCTCCATGTACAACATCTTCAGTGCTGACTTCATAATTTTGCGTTTGCGCAAGCATCAGGAAAATCAAGGAGTGCTAAATAACTATTATAATGTGCTAAGTTTCAGATGGAATTATTGATAAACAAGAATAAAACATTCTGTGTCCTTCTTTACTTAGCTTTTTACTTGATAAAGATTCCCCACCAGTATTTCAATTCTTCTGAAAGGTATAATATTCTAATGATTGTAAATATCTTATTTTATTTCAGTCCACATGTTATACCACTATGTGCATGGAATGGAACAGACTCTGTTAGCTCACATCATGCTGATGTACTGAATGAAGACTGTACACAACAACACCAAATAAATTTACATTCACCACTATTGAAATCACAAAATCCTACAACACTGTCAACTCCTGAAAAAATTTCTGATCAAAATATTCAGCAAGTGCATATGCCTTCTTCATGGTCTTTGGATCAAGAAGGTGATGCTGACGGTTTACAAGAAACACAAGTTGACAATTTGTTCACAGAACAACAATTGCGGAATACAGATATTTTAAAAGATTCTAAATTAGTAGAGAAACGACAAGTTATCGACAGAATTCGCCATGAGACATTTCTTCAACTCAAACCAGAACTGGAGCGTAGTATCAGCTTACATATGGGAGGTAGGTTGTAGATTGCTTTTAAACTTCGCTGTTGTATTTTATGATAAATAATGTCAGATAATGAGTATTGTGACAATATGTATAGCTTTATCCTCAATAATGCTTATAGCTGTTACTCCCTGCAATGTCACCTCACCTCTGTGAAATATCGAAAAGCAGTAATTCAGTTACTTTTAACTTTCTCACTGATTCCGTTAGTCGTGGTAATACAAACAACAATAAACTGACTGTAGTATATAACGATGTTACAATCACGAATACTCTTCTGTGGAAGGTAATAACACTATTTAATAAAGATGTATGGAAACGGAGAGATAATAAGAAATGAACACATATGCAGTGATTTGGGAAGGGTTTTCAAGCATTCCATTCAAAGTGCCTCACTACTTATACTTATCATCATCGAACAAAGCATAGAATGGCAGTCAATCCTCTACCTCAACTTCATCGACTTCGAAAAGGCCTTCGACAGACAGTGTTGACCGAGAAGTAATTTGGAAACTACTTCAACACTACGCTATGCAGTTCCCGAATCTTTATCAACCTCATTCAACAGCTATATGACAATGTCACGTGTCAGGTAATCCACAACGGAGCACTCAGTGGAGCCCTTGAAGTGAATACAGGAGTAAGACAAGGTTGTTTATTATCACCGATGATATTCATAATTGTCGTGGACTGGATTATGCATCAGAATGTGGGGAGCGAGGAGACAGGAATACGCTGGACAGATAAGAAGACTCGAGAATATCTGGATCTTGCAGATGATATATGTCTAATGTTACACAAACTCGAAGACTTGCAGTCAAAAACAGACAAACTGGCAGAAGTGGCAGGCAGAGAAGACAGGACTTCAAGTGAACAAAGAGAAGACGAAGGAGATAAGGATAACTAAACAGCAGCAACAACAATCAGCACTAATCACCACCAGCAGAAATAATTTGAAAGAGGTTACTTCCTTCCTTCACTTAATTAGGAAGCATCGTTTCAACTACAGGTGGAACGGATGAAGATGTCAAAGTCAGAATCGGAAAGTCAATCAGAAACCAGTTTAGAAATCTTCTGCACTCAGCCATCATAAACAACAAGATTCGGATTTTCAACACCAATGCGAAGTCAGTCATTCTGTATGGGTCAGAAGTTTGGTGCACCACGATTAGAAGTTCCAACAGGTTGCAGATATCCATCAACACCTGCCTTCACCGGTTCCATACTGAAGATCAAATGGCCGGCTAGCCAGAAAGAATTAGCAACACAGAAACCATGGGAACAAACAAACCAAGAACCTATTGCTCAACAAATATATAGGAGAAAATGGCGATGGATTGGACGTATTCTGAGAGGATAGTTGAATGACATCGAGCGTCAAGCCATGGCTCTAGTGGAACCCAAACACGGGACGAGGAGTGGGTCGTTGTAGGGTTATATGGATAATATTGTGAGGGGAGGAGGTGACGAACTATGGATAATCGTGGGTCTAGCTGATGAGGACAGCACCAAATAGAACAAAATGGGCGATGTGTTGTTGAAGCCCCATGTTCCACTCGGAATCCAAGAGAGTAATAATAATAATCCTTATCCTTACCATATAGTGGAACATGACTGAACTGAACAATTTATATACCTCGGCTATTTGGAGTAAGAATAAAGTAGCACAATGTAGTATGAATGTGAACCAATAGAACCCGCAAACACTGATAACTTGGATAATTCATATATATATATATATATATATAATTTCTTGAAGCCCAAAAGTCTTGCTGGTCACTTTTTAGACTTTTGGTGACGTACATTTGTTACAAAGATTTTTATGTAAATTTACTGGTAATAATAGTTCAGTGTACTTCTAAATACTCAGTTTACTTATTATTTTGGTATGTTATTCTCTGGAGACTAAATTTTGGGGAATAAAGTATGATATTTGCTGTAACCTGCTCTGTAACCTGGAAAAATCTTTGATTTTGTTATCCTGAAATAACATTTATTATACAACAGAAGGAAAATTTAATTGCAGACTGTAATTAATGTATGGTTCACTTACTAATGTGAAATATACTATGTTGTTTCAACTCATGGTGTTATACTGACTGTCAGACCAGTGCATTTCATAACAGTGAGAATGACATTAATTGATGTCTAGTTTCTCAGGAATTCATTTTTCTAATGCTAAATATGTATGTTATCAAAAACACTTTTTTCTCCTATTTTGAGCGTATTCAACAAAAACTGACACGATAAACTGATGCTTTTTGTTTCATGTAGAATGGGGCACCTGGATTAGTTAGTAGCTCTTATATAAAAGATGAAACTCATCCAATCACTGAGACCGATTGAACGAACAGGTTTCACTAGACTAAGCTTTCCACGCTTTCGTTTCAATTTTACTTAAATAGTGGGGATGGAGGTGGTCAGTTGCCATCTGAAACCCCCCCGGGGAGTTGATCTTATGTAATTTTGTATTACGTAGTTAGAGGAATGCTGTAATTACGTCAGATGTTACATATGGCTTAATTAAAGGTATTTTATCAACCTTTTCACGCAGATGGAATATGTTTCAGTGTTTACCATACTATGCACGAAAAACCCTCGTCCTCTTGTCATAAATCTTCTATTATTTGTCAACTCGTGTATTCTTTAACTATCTAATTTTGTCTGTTGAACAAATTATGCGTTTTATTGCATATTGCTTATTTTCAAAATTATAGACAACAGCTGTGATTCAATGGAGTTTCATAGATCGCATTTTGATTCAGACTATAAACAAAGTGGTAGATTATTTCAATCATCTATATGGAGAACACGTCCATCTCGAGAAAATCATACAACAAGCCTTATCCTTTTAAACGCTGAACGTAGTCTTAAGAATATGGAACGTAGACGTCGATTTCTTCCCAATCCAGATTACAGATCAGATAAATATTTAGCAGCCTTGAAAAACAAATATATTATACAATGATAATTTTATTTTTATTTTTATGATTCAGTATATAAAATGTATTCAAACCTAATTCAGAGCTTCCACTAACTGAATAGAGTATAATATGTATTATATATATACATTTATTCATTATCTCTTTTTATCTTAATTGCTTATCAGTATATTGTAATTATAGGTATATTGTTCCAAGAACAGTATTTGTATTTATATACATATACCATTATTTTTACACCTGGATATATGCAGTTGTCATTCTTTCCTTTCTCCAAAGTAATAAATACAAAATTATATGCACTTGTATTAATATATACTTGCAGACTACTGAATTAAAATAAAAGTAGTTAAGGAATTCGCCACCAATTAGAAACACCGTCTAGTTACAACTATTGCTCCAGATAATATAAGTGAATTTGGTCCAAACTGTATATAGGCTTTCCGTTTACACACATGAGCATAAATATTATTATCATGATCACGTCCGTTGGTGAAATAACAAATTTTTAGAATAAATCCAAAACTCATATTTGACTAAAAACTGCATAGCTATTCAGCTTGCCTATAAGACGACTAAAATTAATATGAAGTATGAGTGAACTCTTAAAGCACCTTCACCAGGTTGTAGAAGTGCAACAACACCTTTCTTTTCTTGATACTGAAGATAAGCTGAGCATAAAGAATAAGCAATAGAGACATCTGACAGTGAACCAGTCAACATTCAACTGTTTAACAGATATACATAAAGAAATGGAGATAGATTGAAAATACTCTAAGGAGGCATTTAAGTAACAACATTTAGAAGGCCTACGAGTGGAACCTGAATGCATAGTGACAAGTTGGCTCCCGTGGGTGACATGAAGGAGATCGAATGAAGACGAAACGGAAGCTACTAGACAGTATTGGAGTTGCTTGAAAGTGTTGGTAGAGGACCGACAGCATCTGAAGCGTGCCGCTAGGAAAACAGTGAATGAGTAATACTAATAAAATAGCAAATGAGCACTATTATGGTCGGTGATTTATTATTGTTATGAAATTTTTTAGGATAGTGTCAATTGAATATCGAACGTCAGCAATCGACCTTCGAAAATTTATTAGTCACTTTGTACAGTATTGTTGAATAGTGAAAAGAAAAATTTAAATTTGTGAAAAGTGGTTCCATGGAGACGAACCTGAAGTACATATAAAAATTAAGGATATTAGAATGAGAGCATAAAGCTAACCCAAAGTAAATTTTATCCACTGTCTGTCAGTTTAACAATTAACAATAACTAGCACACAGTAAATCATTATAGGCTAATTAACTAAGTTTGGGACTCTTCAGCAGTACGCAACCACCGGGGTTCGAACCCAGGACCCGGTGGGTGCGTACTGATGAAGAGTTACAAACTAGGACAAAACAGCTGTCCAGTACTCCCAGGTTTCCCAGTGGTTCTCTATCTGATGTCAGCTCATGATGAAATCCTCCATCCAATCAAACTAAATCCCTACAAAACCAATACTTGAAAATTAACTAAGTAACTGATAGTAAAAGCTAATGAATAAACACTCGCCTGTGATTAGCTGTAAGCAGACGGATGATGAACACACTGAGAATCACTAAACTTAATTATTAAGACCTTGTTGCCTGTATGTGTCGATTATGTCTTCCAGGAGAAATCAAAAGAATTAACGTACAAATGAGCATTTAAATATACTGCGTACATTTGTTGAACAGTTTAAGGTAATAGTGTGAGTAAAGCAGGAAATGTCGCAGTAGAATCCTAAAGATAATTTTCAGAGGCGATACAAAGGATGACTGAGAAATATGACTATTGGTATAAATGAACAGACAGTGATTAACACAGACTAATTTCATAGAAAAAAATTTATGTAGATTTATACATTTTGAGACGAAAGACAAAGGCAGTGATTAAATATAAAGTGATATGTTAGTTCTAGAAACAGGGGAGTGAGAGCAGAGATTATTGGTTTTGACAATCTTTGGGAAATAGTTGGTGTATACATTTCTACTACTATGAACGGACGGCAGGCATCTTACCAATAAACGTTAATATCCTAAAGAACCCCTTGAAGAAAACTACATCTCAGATGAGTCAGATAAACAATAAGAGACGGCCTGCTTAAATCACTGAGCTACCGAGATTGCTTTCCACCAGAATGCCTAATTTCATCTGGATTTATCATTGTTTTAATCATCCAGTTATATCAAATGACCTATACATGAACTTGTGCGCTGGTTTAACTTGCTTCCGAATAAATGCTGTGCAATTCTTCAGCGAAATGAAGATATACTTCAGATTATTACCTTACATGTGAATCCTGTATGAAAAAGCATTTTGGAAAGAAATACGCTGAGAATTTGTTTATCATATGTTCACATATTGCCTGAAATAAAGCTTTATTATTATTATAGTGCGGCGTTTTTATGTGGTCATCACTTACTCTTTTTCAATACAATTCCACCCCAGATGACATTAACATAGGGTGACTAGCCGTCCTCACAATTTTACCAGGCGAACACCTAAAACAGCATCGCTGTGCTCGCACTTTTGGTCATACTCACAACTAATATAGTTTTCTGTCACTGTCTACTGAAATATGTTTCCCATCTTCTGCTGCTACAGGTCACAGCAGACATTCTGCGCGTTTCAGTTGGCAAGATGAGACGAAATGGGTGTGCAGTTTGTTATTTACAGAGCTAGGTGAGGGATTTCGCTGCTGTCTTTTGTTAAGTAGGATATTTACTTCTGTTCAACTTGTGGATACTGTGGTCGTCACCGCCATGCCTTAAATGTTGGATAGTATTGATTGGACTTTGTACTTGCTGGTTACTACACAATGTTTCTTGGAAGCTAGGATTTTTCTGCCGAGAATTCTAAATGCTTAAAGAAATTAAAGAAAAATATTAGTGAATAGTAAAATTATTTCGGACTACTTCCTTCTGTCAACCAACTTGCAACCTTCAATTTGAGCTAAGAGACCCGGTTGTGATTTCACCGTATTCATCACGGCAAATATCCAACAGAATGACAGTTGGGAGTGTCATTAATTCGCATGGCAACATCAGGGATGATTACTAGTAATTCAGAGTCATCTAACTCCAATCATGCCACGGCTCAGGTTTTCATTTCAACTTCAACCATCATCCAATAATATTAGTCTGCACTATATGGCTATCTTAAATCATCGCATCATCAATAAGTTGTTAAGATTGGTATAACTTTTATTTTTCGACATTTGCTCTTATCTTAATAATTTTATGATGTTTTCAGATTTTACGAAGAAAGCTTAGGAATTATTTTACTTTTTTATTTATCCTTTACCTGAATGAATATAGTGCATATCTTTCAAGTGGCAGATGGTTTTGTAAAACTGTTTTATTTTGCCAATGATAATCACATCGAAATTAATCATTATTACTACTGAGTTAATACAGCATTTCAGTCATATGTTTTCCTTCTAATATTTAATTCTTTAAGCGAAAGGAGTTAGAATGCTCATGGCTTCTTCATTACCTTCTATTATATCCCTGTAGATGTTAAATTTTGATAATATAGATTTGCTCGTGAAAAATCCCAAGAAAATTCTTATAAATTATTTGCCTGACTACAGATAACATTAACAACAAAAGTGCGGAATACAGTTAAACTATATAATGCCTGGAGTAGTTAATAGTATTTACTAAAATACAAACCTATAACCAAACAAACCCCTGCAGACAAATACTTGAGAATTAATCGAATTCTCAGTAACAACTGACTCTATACAAGAAGTTCTAGTGGAAAGTCGCAGCCATTAGGGTCCACCAAGTCTGTCAAGAAGACAATTACTGTCCCATGACATTCGCTGTCGGTTTCTACATATATACATTAAGAACTGGCAGAAGTTTGAATTGATATCCTGGGGGTCGGGTCCCAGTGGCTGAATAGTCTACGAGCTTTCCATGCACTTGGAAGGTCCTGAGTTACACCTCTGTTGGGTGCGTAATATTAAAGAGTCGCAAACTAGGTCGAAACAGACGTCCAGTACTCCCTAGTTTTCCAATAGTTCTCTGACTGTTATCAAATAGTGTTCAATCTGTAAAATGCAATACTGATTTTTGTAACATCAGCTTATACATTAAACAAGAGAGTATACATCATATTTGTGAAGTAAGCTTATCGTGAACGCCTTGACCATTGCTGTTTGACGCATACTGACTTTTCAGTTATATCCCAAGATATTTCTCGTTATAAATAACTTAGAGGTATGTAATAAAAAAATTCATAATCATGCATTATATTCTAAATTATTTTTGAAATGAATCTGAAAATTAGCTTGGCTGCCTCTAGTGCAAAATATCTCTACATTAAGCGAAATGCCCTTCTAGTAAAGATCTATACACGAGAACCCTATTTAAATTTAACTTCGACTGTTAAACAGTTCATAGTGGGTAGCAGTTTAATCCATGGCACGATTTTCGTCCTAGCTAGGGCTCGGTAGTTGGATGTACCTGCAACCCAAAGAATAGTTTTACTACCAGTGAGACTCTAATTCAGCACCTGTAAGTGCCGTTTCATTTGAAATAATGTGGTTATCTAGTTTACCGCCTTCTATGTTTATTGTGAAAAGATGATTCTGTAAGATAATGGCTAAGTCATTTATCTCTTTTAAAAAAGCAATGAAAGGACTAAAGGACACTTATCTGATATGCTTCTTCAACACGTTTACTTATTGCGTAAATTCTAAAATATCCCAGCTGTAACAATAATATATAAATTATGCTTTATATAGAGGTATATGTCAATAAACGTAGCCCATGGTGTAGCAAAAGTGCCTAAGGTACTCTTAGGCAACAGGAGCCGAATGAAAAATTTGTCAAATTTATTTTATGACTTCACAAACCACCCCTTTTCGAGTATGGGAAAAACTGTACTCACCTTTTAGTTAATCTGCGCTCATTAGTACAGTTTGTGGTAGGTGGGTTTAATTTACAAACAACTTCATTGGTAGGTGTTTTGTTCTTAATCACGCTACTTGTATGCGGATACAAGTAGCTTTCAGAACTTTTTATCTGCAATACTGTATAATCGGTAATCTTGTGGCATAGATGATAAATCGTATTATGGAAAAATACCTGAAGACATATGACAGTTTAATGCTCGTTTGATGCAATCTACAAGTTACTGCCGTTATTGTCTATCAATGCCTTTTTATTCAAACCACACTGCATTTATTCCCAGGTGTTCTCAATCTAGCG